GCCCTGCGCACAAAACACATGCTCCTGGTTGGGTCAATGATGTTGAACTTCAGTTGCAAATCCTCCCCATTTTCAAGAGTCGGCATTCAGGATTTCTTTCTCCTTCCGGAGTCGGGCTGTGAAGTTACTTGATGCTGAACATAGTGTTATGAGGTTAGCTAACGAAAAATAAAAGAACATATCGAATAGCTAGCGGAAAACATCAGGTTTTTGAAACACTCCATGTGAGTTGCTAAATTTTCCACAAGGACTTGGGCACGGTGAACCCTTCGTTTCGCCAACGACCGTACCACAGAATTCCACACGGTCCTCGCAGTCAGGACGCTCCCCATATCTCTTGAGGATCCGCGCGGCAGATTATGGTCGCAGTATTTAGGAAGATATATGAAAAACCGAACATGAGAAATAACATGATAGTATGTGTAACTTATTGTAACTTATATATTACATATATACATATATGTTTTACACACTGTATATCAGTATCTATCAGTATCTATCAGTACAGCAACTATTCTGACATCATGATGTTTTTTTTTGCAAGAGGACAGCATAACGACCATCATCTGCCTGCTCGGCCTGGGGGGCCTGGCTCTGTGTCTCGGGGGCTGAAAGTCAAGTCACCGAATTTTAGGATGGGACCCAAAAAACCAGACGACGTGGATGATTTGGTCAGACCTCGTTGCGGGAACGCCGCTAGATGAGGCGAAGTTTTCAGCTTTGTGAACTATTCGAATTTGTATCTAGAATGTGAAATAGCCCAACAGGTGAGGCGGACCATTGGTTTTTGAACATTTTTTAATTGGTCTAAAAAATGTGGGAGACGTACCCAAACAGATGTATTTTTTGAAAAAGGTAACCCCCCCAATTCCAATTCGGATTTGTTGGGGTCTTTGGGATCTCAGTCCGCAAAGTCGGCCGATCAAGCAATCCAAAGAATGGATCAAGACCTCCCCCAAATAACGATTGAACATGGCCATTTATAGTTGATTTAAATGATTTACCCATTAAAATCATTAAACATTGTGATTTTCCATAGTTTTTTTGTAAACGTTTACCAGGCCGGGTAACAAAAAACATCAAAAGACCAAGCTGCCACGGAGTTTCCTGGTCCGCAAAAAAGGACCCCTTTGACCCATCCAAGGTGGGTAAAGTCACAGGCCGCGGAGCTGGCTATGGCTCAAAGACATCGTTTTGGTGAAGCCAAACGAAGCATTTTGAGTTTCCTTTTGGGGCAGAACTTAGATAACTTCATATAACTTTTGCCCAAATTTGGGGACTACCATACTATCCAAATACCCCAACTGAGCCATACCCCGATGTCAAATCCCAAGCTTTCAACTGTGGCCGCGGCAGCATGCTGCCTTTTGAGCACCGTCCGGGGTAGCCCCCAGCTCCAGCAGCAGGGGCACCCGTTCGACAATCCATGGGGGCACGCATGCGCGCCGCGGCCGGTAGCCACAGCGGTGAACACATTGGTTGCAGAAGAAAAAAGAGCGGCTGAATGGGGTGGGAAGAGCATGGAAAATTCCTGCTATATGAAAAATGGTGTTGAACGAGGAGCATAATGATGATCCATTTGAATTGGGGGTTCAGGACTTGCGCCATGCTTGGAGATGTCACTCTGATGACAAAATCTAATCCCAGCTCGCTGATGGCTTTGCCACTTTGAAGAGATAACTCGTTCCGACACTTTGTCTGAGTGCTGCTTGGCGAATTGAAGTAGGTACCTGCTGAATCGTTTGCTTGAGTGCATCTGGCTCGGTCGAGGGCAAGGACGATACAACAAGAGATGCTACACCTCTTCTGAACGTCAGAGTGTAGAACAGACTTGCAAAGAGTAGTGGGCACAGCTTTCATGTGTGATACAATATGATACAGTATGTACTTTGTTAGTTGGATTTTGACTGATGTGAAGAACCAGCAAGCATGTGAAGATGATGACAAAATCTAATCCCAGCTCGCTGATGGCTTTGCCATTTTGAAGAGATGATTTGTTCCGACACTTTGTCTGACCCTTTTGCTGGTTTTGCATGCATGTCATACATATTTGATGCTGTGTCTGCGATTACTTCAAGGTAGGCTTTGTGGACCGTGGCCAGATGGTGGTTCTGCCGTCGATGCTGCTACACGTGATGACAAAATCTAATCCCAGCTCGCTGATGGCTGCGCCATTTTGAAGAGATAACTCGTTCCGACACTTTGTCTGAGTATTGCTTGGCGAATTGAAGTAGGTACCTGCTGAATCGTTTGCTTGAGTACATCTGGCTCGGTCGAGGGCAAGGACGATACAACAAGAGATGCTACACCTCTTCTGAACATAAGAGTGTAGAACAGACTTGCAAAGAGTAGTGGGCGGAGCTTTCATGTGTGAAACAATATGATACAGTATGTACTTTGTTAGTTGGATTTTGACTGATATGAAGAACCAGCAAGCATGTGAAGATGATGACAAAATCTAATCCCAGCTCGCTGATGGCTTTGCTATTTTGAAGAGATGATTTGTTCCGACACTTTGTCTGACCCTTTTGCTGGTTTTGCATGCATGTCATACATATTTGATGCTGTGTTTGCGATTACTTCAAGGTGGGCTTTGTGGACCGTGGCCAGATGCTGGTTCTGCCGTCGATGCTGCTACACGTGATGACAAAATCTAATCCCAGCTCGCTGATGGCTGTGCCATTTTGAAGAGATAACTCGTTCCGACACTTTGTCTGAGTGTTGCTTGGCGAATTGAAGTAGGTACCTGCTGAATCGTTTGCTTGAGTGCATCTGGCTCGGTCGAGGGCAAGGACGATACAACAAGAGATGCTACACCTCTTCTGAACGTCAGAGTGTAGAACAGACTTGCAAAGAGTAGTGGGCACAGCTTTCATGTGTGATACAATATGATACAGTATGTACTTTGTTAGTTGGATTTTGACTGATGTGAAGAACCAGCAAGCATGTGAAGATGATGACAAAATCTAATACCACGCCGATGAGGCTTTGCCATTGAAGAGATGATTTGTTCCGACACTTTGTCTGACCCTTTTGCTGGTTTTGCATGCATGTCATACATATTTGATGCTGTGTTTGCGATTACTTCAAAGTGGGCTTTGTGGACCGTGGCCAGATGGTGGTTCTGTTGTCGATGCTGCTACACGTGATGACAAAATCTAATCCCAGCTCGCTGATGGCTGTGCCATTTTGAAGAGATAACTCGTTCCGACACTTTGTCTGAGTGTTGCTTGGCGAATTGAAGTAGGTACCTGCTGAATCGTTTGCTTGAGTGCATTTGGCTCGGTCGAGGGCAAGGACGATACAACAAGAGATGCTACACCTCTTCTAAACGTCAGAGTGTAGAACAGACTTGCAAAGAGTAGTGGGCGGAGCTTTCATGTGTGATACAATATGATACAGTATGTACTTTGTTAGTTGGATTTTGACTGATGTGAAGAACCAGCAAGCATGTGAAGATGATGACAAAATCTAATCCCAGCTCGCTGATGGCTTTGCCATTTTGAAGAGATGATTTGTTCCGACACTTTGTCTGACCCTTTTGCTGGTTTTGCATGCATGTCATACATATTTGATGCTGTGTCTGCGATTACTTCAAGGTAGGCTTTGTGGACCGTGGCCAGATGGTGGTTCTGCTGTCGATGCTGCTACACGTGATGACAAAATCTAATCCCAGCTCGCTGATGGCTGTGCCATTTTGAAGAGATAACTCGTTCCGACACTTTGTCTGAGTATTGCTTGGCGAATTGAAGTAGGTACCTGCTGAATCGTTTGCTTGAGTGCATTTGGCTCGGTCCAGGGCAAGGACGATACAACAAGAGATGCTACACCTCTTCTGAACGTCAGAGTGTAGAACAGACTTGCAAAGAGTAGTGGGCGGAGCTTTCATGTGTGATACAATATGATACAGTATGTACTTTGTTAGTTGGATTCTGACTGATGTGAAGAACCAGCAAGCATGTGAAGATGATGACAAAATCTAATCCCAGCTCGCTGATGGCTTTGCCATTTTGAAGAGATGATTTGTTCCGACACTTTGTCTGACCCTTTTGCTGGTTTTGCATGTATGTCATGCATATTTGATGCTGTGTTTGCGATTACTTCAAAGTGGGCTTTGTGGACCGTGGCCAGATGCTGGTTCTGCCGTCGATGCTGCTACACGTGATGACAAAATCTAATCCCAGCTCGCTGATGGCTGTGCCATTTTGAAGAGATAACTCGTTCCGACACTTTGTCTGAGTGTTGCTTGACGAATTGAAGTAGGTACCTGCTGAATCGCTTGCTTGAGTGCATCTGGCTCGGTCGAGGGCAAGGACGATACAACAAGAGATGCTACACCTCTTCTGAACATAAGAGTGTAGAACAGACTTGCAAAGAGTAGTGGGCGGAGCTTTCATGTGTGATACAATATGATACAGTACGTACTTTGTTGGTTGGATTTTGACTGATGTGAAGAAAAGGCAAGCATGTGAAAAGGATGACAAAATCTAATCCCAGCTCGCTGATGGCTTTGCCACTTTGAAGAGATAACTCGTTCCGACACTTTGTCTGAGTGTTGCTTGGCGAATTGAAGTAGGTACCTGCTGAATCGTTTGCTTGAGTGCATTTGGCTCGGTCGAGGGCAAGGACGATACAACAAGAGATGCTACACCTCTTCTGAACGTCAGAGTGTAGAACAGACTTGCAAAGAGTAGTGGGCGGAGCTTGGTTGTGTGAAACAATATGATACAGTACGTACTTTGTTGGTTGGATTTTGACTGATGTGAAGAAAAGGCAAGCATGTGAAAAGGATGACAAAATCTAATCCCAGCGTGCTGATGGCTTTTCCGTTTTTTGGCAACATATAGGTAATATATCATTGGGAGATTCTATATACTATTATTGTGATTCCATATAGGTAATATGCCATGTAGGTAATATTCAATATAGGTAATATTCCATATAGGTAATATTCCATATAGGTGTAGTCCATATAGCCAGGTATTTGAATTTGAATCACCATGGGACATGCCATTTTTGGCCCACCAGGTATTCCGTGGCGGGAAAACCAGCAGCAACGAAGGCGGAGACGCGTGAAGTTCGTGAAGTTCGTGAAGTTCGTGAAGGCCGGGTGAGTGGAAGGTGTCGAATGTTGTTTTTTTTTTTCTGTTTCCCCCTGTTTAGCAATAAAGAACATTATACAATAGGTTTGCCATAATGTCATACACTTGCCGCTGTAATGATTGTTGGAGATGGGATTTAGACGAATATCTTTTCCATTTTTTCAAGGTCAAATAATTAATTGCAAATTATACTGAGATTTACAACAATTCTATACAATTGTCATACATATTATATAAATACACATGCTAATAACATGTTTTTGACATGGACGATCTTGGCCGCTGGGTTTCATGGATTGCATCCGGATGAGGAACCATAGGCACTCCGACCCTTGGCATAGAGGGTTGGAAAGTATATTAGATTATCTAATATATATATATATAATATGTATACATACATGCATGCATGCATGCATGCATGCATACATACATACACATACATACACATACATACACATACATACACATACATACATACATAGATACATAGATACATAGATACATAGATCGATAGATAGATAGATAGATAGATACATACATACATACATACATACATTACATTATAATACATTACATTATAATACAACACAATACAATACGATACGATACAATACAATACATTCCATACATACATTACGTACATTACATACATTACATACATTACATACATTACAAACATTACATACATTACATACATTACAGACATTACATACATCACAAACATTGCATACATTACATATATTACATTACCTCACATTACATTAACATTAACACTAACATTTACATTACCATTTACACGAACATTTACACGAACATTTACATTAACATTTACATTAACATTTACTTTTACATTAACATTTACCTTAACATTTACCTTAACATATACATTTACATTTACCTTACATTTACCTTTACATTTGCATTTACATTCAGATTAACATTTACATTAACATATACATTTACATTTACCTTACATTTACCTTTACATTTGCATTTACATTCAGATTAACATTTACATTAACATTTACATTTACAATACATTACATTGCATCACATTACATCACATCACATACATCACACACATCACATACATGACATACATCACATACATGACATACATTACATACATCACATACATACATCACATACATCACATACATCACATACATCACATACATGACATACATCACATACATCACATACATCACATACATCGCATACATGACATACATGACATACATACATCACATACATGACATACATCACATACATGACATACATGACATACATGACATACATGACATACATGACATACATGACATACATGACATACATGACATACATGACATACATGACATACATGACATACATCACATACATCACATACATGACATACATGACAGCCATGACATACATGACATACATGACATACATCACATACATACATCACATACATACATCACATACATACATCGCATCACATACATCACATACATACATCACATACATACATCACATACATACATCGCATTCATACATCGCATACATACATCACATACATCACATACATCACATACATCACATACATCACATACATCACATACATACACCACATACATCACATACATCACATACATCACATACATCACATACATCACATACATCACATACACCACATACATCACATACATCACATACATCACATACATCACATACATCACATACATCACATACATCACATACATGACATACATCACATACATGACATATATGACATACATGACATACATGACATACATGACATACATGACATACATGACATACATGACATACATGACATACATAACATACATGACATACATGACATACATGACATACATCACATACATGACATACATGACATACATGACATACGTGACATACATGACATACATGACATACATGACATACAGGACATACACGACATACATCACAAACATCACATACATCACATACATCACATGCATCACATGCATCACATGCATCACGTGCATCACATGCATCACATACATCACATACATCACATACATCACATACATCACGTACATCACATACATCACATACATCACATACATCACATACATCACATACATCACATACATCACATACATCACATACATCACATACATCACATACATCACATACATCACATACATCACATACATCACATACATCACATACATACATACATCACGTACATACATCACGTACATACATCACGTACATACATCACGTACATACATCACGTACATACATCACGTACATACATCACATACATACATCACGTACATACATACATACATACATACATACATACATACATACATACATACATACATACATACATACATAGGTCCTCGTTCGTAGCACTTTTTTCTGGGAGACTAGGTTGTTGACTTCTTTTTGAGATATCGGTCAGAAAAAGTAATTCTTGACCAAAGCGCGTACTTTTGCAATTTACCTATGATTTCCCTGGTTTCATTTCATGCTGCATTACCATGTTACGCATTCAACCTCATTCAATCCTATGTCAGTTGAATTCCCTAATGTGGGCCATTGATAAAACTAAGTGAAGCAATGACAAGTTACCCGCAAATCGACAGGGTCAACCACCACCTACCCTCTATCCACCATAAGCGAATAAAATCAAAGCGCTAAACTCTGACCAGCCATGGTAGCTGGTCAATCGGCTTTGAAGTGCCACTAACAGACTCTTTGGCTCACCATTTCTTAGATTATGTTCATTTTTGTGTGCGATGTGCACGTTTTATGCGAAAGTTCGCGCCTACAAAAACCTTCAAAACTCCCTCAAAAAGCTTCAAAACGATTACAAAAACCATCAAACGCCTACAAACCCCAAAAACTAGGTCACTTTGTTTTTCAATGTTTTCGGCAATATGCAAAAAAATGGAAATTTTAAGCCTTCTGCTTCTTTTTTGCAGAGTTCTCACAGAATTATGTTTTTGGAAGAAGCATGGTCATGATTGCAAGTTTGAACACTGTGCATGTGTGAGTGCACATCACCATGCGGATTGGGATGCACGACTTATTTTGTGAGAGACCATTTGAAACCAGGCTTTTTCCATGAGCGAAATCTATATATAATCAATTCAGGGGGTCGGGGAATGACAAAAAATTCAAGGTTGCAGTGGAGGGCATAAAACTCACAACCGGTTTTTGGAGATATCGACCAAAACGTCTACTTTTTGAATTAGCGTCCAGAAAAGGTAGAACACTAGGGGTCGACAAAATTTTCTTGATATTTTGAAGACCTAGGTACATACATACATACATACATCCATGCATGCATGCATGCATACATACATACATCCATCCATGCATGCATGCATGCATGCATACATACATACCTACATACATACATACATACATCCATCCATGCATGCATGCATACATGCATACATACATACATACATGCATGCATGCATGCATACATACATACATACATCCATCCATCCATCCATCCATCCATGCATGCATGCATGCATGCATGCATACATACATACATCCATGCATGCATGCATGCATGCATGCATACATACATGCATGCATGCATGCATGCATCCATACATCCATGCATGCATGCATGCATGCATCCATACATACATACATACATACATCCATGCATGCATGCATGCATGCATGCATGCATCCATCCATACATACATACATACATACATACCTACATACGTACACAATATTTATATTCAAGAGGCATTGAAGTGTTCTACAAGGCGGGCCCCCCAGTTCTGTTTGTTGGTTTATAAAGCTCATTCATCAATATTAATACCTATGGATATTTTAGTTATAAGTTATACCATCAACATCCATCAACCCCAGTGAAAGTGGAGTTGTGCCAACTTTGCTCATCTCCCATCCCCAAACCCTGCAGGTGCAAAACGGGAACGTCCAGGCCGGAAGCTGCTTGGAGGATTTTTGGGCTACCTTCCGGTAAACACTCACATGACTATGGAAACTCACAATTTTCAACAGGGAAATCCAAGTATTTGTATGGGTCATTTTCGAGTTTACCAGAAGGTACCCCATTTGTAGTTGATTTCCCTATTGAAAATGGCCTTCAGACTGGTCCACTGGTACTCCAGAGGGCACCCCCCCCGGATCATGGTATCCTCCAGGTCTCAAGGTCTCAAGGCCAGACCTGGCGGATCTGGCAGCCTCCAGGCAAGGACTATGAGCCCTTTTTCCCTGCCACGGTTGGAGATCTTGGAAGCAAATTCAGAAGACACGGGATAGAAATGACCCATGAAATATAGGGATTTTGAGTGTATGACAAATTGGGATACTGGAATCTAGAATTTTCGATATTTCATGGGACTTATAAGCAACTTTTTCAGCTTACTAGGGTATTTGGATGTCTCTGAAATTGGGGGTATGCCTGGAAATGGGCATTTCATGGGGAACATGTTTTTCGGATTGGCATTGAGGGGTCCCAATTTTCAGGAAAAAAACATTGATGTTAAAAATCATTCAAGATGCTTAGTTTAACTGTTACCCTCTGGTAATTTAACATAGCTATTGAAAATGGCCATTTATAGTGGATTTTCCAATTGAAAATTGTGATTTTCCATAGCTATGTTAGTTTACCAGAGGGTAACTAGAATAAGCCCTTCAGACCTACGCAAGCACCACTTGATGGTCCGTTCAGTGGGAAGAGGTGGACACCGTGGACACCGCCGACGAAAACCGGCTTCGTTGAGGTGGTGGAATCACAGAAGTATTCTCCACACTTTTTGGTGAGCCGGGCTTGCTCAGATGGCGGACGAGTTGTTCACCAGCTAGCTGCTAGCTAGCTGTTGAACGGAGATATCCAATAGATTGATCATGGGCTGCACATTGATAAATCATCATGAAGACTTGATTGAATCACAAATTCCCATAAATTCCCGCATTCTGTTGACATCTCTCTCAAGGTTCGCGAAGAGCCTCATTGTCTTGCTGAAATATCTCATTTTTGGTGGCAAAAGCCCCGAAGTTGGGCCAAAAAACCCATTTTGTTGGATGAATCCACGGGTTTTGAAGCCCTTGAGGTTGTCGTTCGCGTTGTCTGCGTGGCAAAGATGCAGCGCCGTTGCTGGAGCTGCTACCACGACAGGCGGGCCTTGGTCTACATCGCTGATCCGGTTCACAGAGGTTTACAAGAAGATGCCATTGAAATCGCTAAACACATGGTATCTTTCCATTTTTTTCCAATTTCGATCTATCCCAAAGTATCCACGGAACATTCCGGATTTGTCAAACTTGGGTACCTCAAATCCATTGGTTAATCATCCTTTTCCCTGATGGGCCCAACTTGTAGGCTAGGGGTACATTCCCAATTCTGAGACACACCCAAATACCCCCTATTGCTGGTTAAATGCCCATTATATAGCCATGATATACCCACAATGTACACCTGATATCCCAATTTTTTTTCCCGCACCCATTGCTGGTTAAACCCTAACTTCAAGGATCCCCCGAGAAAGCCAGGCTGAAGCGAGCCGCAGCAAAGGTGGCAAGGTGCCGTGCCTGATGGCTATCTACTGGGTGTATATTCTTTGGGGGGAGCCAAGGAGCGACTAGGAGCCCAACAACATGACAGATCTGTTGATTTCTTGCAGTGGAGTTGGCTGTCCAATTCAGTTTCGTCGGAACATGAGGCAGAAGCCAAGCGCAGGCGGGGGGAATCACTTGTCAGCAGATCTCCACAGAAGTTTGACAAGATCGAGAGATACAACTAATAACTAATCACACACGTATGTATATATATATATATATCATATATATATATGATATATATATATATCATATATATATCATATATATATATATGATATATATATATACACGCATACATTGTACGAAACCCCAGCTATCATCAAGCTCTGACAGTGCGACCGGTTAGGGGATCACTTAGAGCACCATGGGAGCGACCACGGGGAAGTGATATCCGGGTGGGTTAAGCCTTAGGGTCTTGCAGTCTTGGAGCACATTGGCTCCCTGAAATTCGGGTTCCCCGTTTTATTTCTTTTGGAATTCCACTTATAACATCTCTTCCTCTTACAATCATCTCGTCTATACTATCATTGCTTAAAACCCCTATAGTTTTTTTTTTATTTGCTCAGCAGTAATTGTTCCATCCACAAGTGTTATTACACAGTATTTGACTGAAGAAATACTACACATATCTACTCATATCTTCACGTTAAGCTTGTCAAAAACCATTTCAACATCTAATCCCCTTTATTTTGCAGTATCTCATCTGACTGATGATAGCATCCCTTACATCTATTTTCCCCACATAATACATATTACATATAGACGCAACATGGTATAAAAATTACATTATTTAACTATACGTATCTTCAAGTGGTTCAGTTACATGAATATGTATAGACACATTTACCAGACACTCACATTATATATATATATACTAACCATAAATAACTAGATCATCATATTTCCCATAGGTATGCATAGATAACTTATCTGACACCATTCGTTTTCAGCCCTGAGCTCTGCCTCCGCCAAGGGAGAAGGCTTCCACTCGGGCACCGGTGCCATTTGAGCCCCAGGCGCTGAGTTTTTGGTGGCTGTCAACACTCAAAAAACGAAGAAACACTTGATGTTTACCGCTTTTTGATAATATTAGTGATTAATATCTAATCTATATCACTTATAACTTATATCTAATCACTTATATCTAATCACTTATATCTAATCACTTATATCTAATCACTTATATCTAATCACTTATATCTAATCACTTATTATTTTGATTAATATGATTAGTTATCAGTAGTGATGATAAGTGATGATAAGTGATGATAAGTGATGATAAGTGATGATAAGTGATGATAAGTGATGATAAGTGATGATAAGTGATGATAAGTGATGATAAGTGATGATAAGTGATGATAAGTGATGATAAGTGATGATTATGATGATGATGACGATGATGATGATGATGATTATTATTATTATGACTTATGACTATTATCTATTTATTCTTGTTTTCACTATTTTGATTTGCTACTATTCTTCTTCTTATTTTTACTATTGTTATAATGACTTTACCTAATTATTATGTTGTTATTGCTATTTTCAAACCGAACCACTTGGCATTTCCTTTTTCACCTTGATCGCCTGATCGCCTTTGTCAGGAGAGCCGCCCCAAAGCTGAAAGCGATGCCCTGCGAGGCACCCGGTGTGGGAGAAGGCATGGCCCCCCAAGGCTGGCCCTCCAGGTAAGTGTTTGGGCAAGTGTTTGGTGATTTTTGGATGATTTTTCCATGAACCTGACCTTTTTTTTGAATATCCCAATTGGAGAAACAGTCATGATATCAGAGCCGCAAACGAGCCGCACCAGTTGGGTTGATGCATGTCCCGAGTCGAGACGATTCTGTTTCTGAGTGGGATGGTGTCCATTTGAGACAATGGAGAAGTTCAACATGTGAAGGCAATAACAACCGTGAACAAAGCTTCAACACATCACCAAACTCATTCCTTCACTATCAAGACATCATGACCACAGCTTTGGGTGGATTGCTCCGGCACCTCCTGCATCCTGCTGACAAAAAATCTGCTGGTGTTTCAACCCTAAAGTTGGCAACATAACCTTGCTCTTCCGAGACTGGCTGACTGGGCTTAATTTGTGGGCACAAAAAACGTCACAGCTACGTCGCTACGCGAGTTACAGCAGCATTAGGCTTCACCCCGTAGCAAAAAAAAGCCAAGATTCAGAAGAACTCCTGAGGCTGGATTCCGCCAAAAAACCCAACTGGTTGGTGGTTTGGAACATTTTTTATTTTCCCCAATAGTTGGGATGCTCCAATCTGACTAATATTTTTCAGAGGGGTTGAAACCACCAATTAGCCAATCATTTTTGTTTCAAGTCCTCCAAGTCCCCCCTCCCGTCGGCAAATCTTCCTGCAGCTCCGGAGCCTGAGCGTTTGGTGCCAAGCGTCGAGGCGGAGGCGGTCATTGCATTGTTTAGGGCTTTAAAATTTCACCGAGACCAAGATACAACCGTATTTTGCCAAGCCAAAATCTGATATGTTCTTTCCAACACATTTAAAGACTCAACAAAATGGGTGACAACGATTTTTGTTTGGCTTAAACAGTTCCAAGACCCACTGGACCAACGTGTTTGAGTTTGTTCGATTTCGGGGTATCTAGGCTTCCGTGTCGTCCCGAAGCATTCCAATGGGGATGTTGAGCAACCAGGAAGCACCATGTGAAGCTGCGGAGCCTGAAGGTTCGATGGCTCCGGTGGTGTTGGGAAGGGCCAGCGGCGAGGGTTGGGAGAAAAATCTGGTCGCATTGAGGGTTGAGGCTGCCCCAACTCTGAAAACTGAGCAAGTTGGATATGTACAGATAGGTATATATATATATATACATATATATATATATCTATACACATTCAAATGATTGTTGATTGCCTCCGCACCTTTGCAACAGGAATGCCCCAGATACTTTGATGTTAAACAACTCCCCAACAATGCGATGAATCTCCAAAAATATGTCCAAATAATTACATGGGCATTTTTTGCCACCATCCGCTTTGAAACCCCTATTCCTAGGTGATTTAAACAATTCTTGGATCAAAAGCCAATTCGTTCGAAAGTCCAGTTCCTTTGGGTTAGGATTTTTGTGCCAAGAATGGCGGTATAGCAGTTGTGTACCATTCTTTGACACCGGTTTGACCTTTTGGCGAAGTCGAAGTGCCAGGCAAGGCCGGCGAACCGCACGACGACGCAAAGAACGTCGCCGACGCGGAAGCTGTCGATCGAGGAAACGAGGTGCGTGGAACCGGTAGTCGAAGCTATGACCAGGTATGTCATCGGCGTAAAATGGATAGAATTATACATACAATATATATATATATATAAATATGAATAGATATGCATATATATATATATGTGTATATATATATACACATGCACATATACATGAATAATATTGATATACAGCTGGTACATGCTGGTGATAGCTAGGCATAGAACTGGACAGCTTGCAGCTCGGTACCAATCGCTGCTTACAACTCACCAGCGAGCCTGCTGTCCATGGCCGAAGTAGGTCCTGTAGAATTGATGTTGAAATTTGTTTTTTTGTAACGGTAACGGAGTAACGCCCGTTAAAGAACTGGTGATGAAATGATGATTTCTATGATATGCCACGTCCTGACTCAGGACATCCTCGGATACAACTTGGTTTATTTGGTAGGTTAGTGGATTGAGTTTTGTTTAATATGCAATCAAATTTTGGAAAGACAGACTCAATTATATAAGTCCCTTTTCAGACTAGTCACGGGATTGGAATCGACAGACCTCAAACAGGGGTATGCGTCAAGAATATGGTTCCAATAGACCCACAAAGTTGGCCATGTGCTTCGAAAACATCCATGGTTTTTTTGGAGGGAAAAATCATGACCATTACCGCAGCCATAGCATGTCCCATATGGGATGACATGGGATGATATATGGTGTTTCAACATGAGAACCATAGAATGCCATGAGGATATGAAAGTCGGCAATGGAGATTTGGATGGGAATGTGCCTTCATGCGTGTGCGAGAAACGATGTGTTAAAATTTTGCACACGCTTTACTGGGAAGAATGGAAATACTAAACAACATTTGGAGGGTATCCCCCTTTCGCATCGGGGATGGGATGAAAATTACATGGTTTCATCGTGGCAAATTTCTATCTTTATTCCGATCTATTCCCATATGGTGGGAAAATCATTGGTAGACCCACATGACCCATCTCCAAATCTGTTGTGAAAGGCCCAACTTGCGGAAGATGAGGGTGACAAGGCTCGGATGCGACCCGCGTCTGTCATGCCTTGGCCGAACATGTGTCGTTGGATGGGCCAAACGTTCAGCCATTTGCGGTTTGAGTCTGAGCTGTAAGGATAGTTTGAAGATAGATAGTTTCAAGATGTTAGCACAATAAAGCACATTTCCTCATGAACTTCATATGCAAAAAAACGCAAGTGCCGAGATGGTTGATGACCTCGACAGTAGAGAAAGACCTTCCCGCCAATGGCGTAAAACCTCCAACCTCCAATCCCCCATCTTCCGGTAATCCCAGCAAGAAAACTCCCAACCACGTACTGAAGATGTGTATATATATATATACATATATATAAATAGATGCATACATTCATAATAGAGCAATATAAATAAGAGTATCTTAACTATATCTAAGGCTATGGCTAGAACCTAATCATCTAAAACCCCCCAAAAAAACCTCGGTGATCCACCACCCATGGCTCCGCGTTGCCGCCGTTGGCTGCTGGCGATCGCCCTGCTGTGGGCGCAGCCGGCCTGGCTGGCGCCGCGGCGCCTGGCTCTGCGACTGGGTGGGATCACTGCACTGTGGGGCGCCGGCGCCGGCGCCGGAGCGCAGGAGTTTGGAGCGCCCGGGAGAAAAGTGCCCCTTGACCAGCCCGAAATGCTGGTGAAATGCTGGTGACCTGTTGGGGTTATATGTTGGGTGCTGGAAATTGGTGAAGACTTATTGAAGTGGGTGGAATATGATCCAGATTGAGTGGTGAAGGGAAACCATCCTTTTTGAGGAGTGATTTTTCAAGGCACTGGGATCACGACCTGCATGGTGTTGAGGCGATGGCAACACTTGTGATGTTTTCTTTTTAAAGCCGGCAGATTTCAGAAAATTGAGATCCTGTCCATCAGGATCCTGGGGATTTTTTCATTGGACAATCACAGGTGGAGCTGATTTGCCTGTCAAGCTTAATTCTTCCATGGCCAGCTTCGAACATGCCTTCTCTCGGCTGGGACGGCGAGGTTGGATTTGGCAGGCTTGCTACCTTCTTCGACAGAGAACCTCGGCGACAGCGATGTTGAATTTCGGTGCTGATGTCGAAAAGGGCAAAATGTTGTTTGTTTTTTCAAGAAACAGACAGAGATGGATCCATTTGGCTGGCAAGGGAAGGGACTTGATTTAATGACATTTAATGTACATGGCGGTAGGCCACCATTTTGGCTCAGGTAACCATTTGGTCACTTTTCCCCGGTGGGGAATGTCCGGTCTGATTCCAGGTGGCACGAGCATGCCAAAGTGTGTCAAGCGAGCTTGGGCTAGGCAATTGGGAGTTCCAAATCTTGAGTTTCTCTGCCCAGCATGAATGGGTCAAGTATAAACGGATTATTAGCCCATATAATATATATATATATAAAATATAATATATATATAATATATAATATATATAATATATAATATATATAATATATAATATATATATAATATATATATTATATAGTATATATTATATTATATTATATATTATATTATATTATATTATATTATTATATTATATATTATATATAATATATTATATATAATATAATATATTATATATATTATATTATATATTAGCCTATATTATATATATTATATATTACATATATATTATATATTATATATATTATATATATTATATTATATATTATATATATATATATTATATATTATATATATTATATATATATATAGATACCAATCATGTTTCGGAGAATCGTTTGTTTATTCTACGCATTTTTGCTTACTTTATGGTTAAATCCGTGGAACGATTTTTTCCGTGGCCTGTCACGAGAATTTCCACCATCGGGGACGATTTCGCCAGGAAAGAGTTGGAGAAGGCCATCGATCTATTGGAGCAAGACACGCCCTACTGCTTTCGCCTTGTGACGCCTCCTGCCGGCTATGGGCCACCAGGCTGATTTTTTTTGAGACTCAAAAGGTGTTGGCCCCAGAAGTATGGGATAAGTTGATTCATGTTGAGTAATGTAAGTTGATTCTGAAGAATATAAAGCTGGTGGCTGAGGGTCACTGACCAAAATTGCGAGCCCCCCAGCTGTTGTTTCAAAGCTGGCAGATGCCTAGTTTCGACCTCGGCTTGGTCTCCCACATTTTTTGGTTTGTAAATGACAATAAATTGAGGGTTTCCATATCAGTTCTCATCTTTCCCTATCCCACAATTTCCCATCAATCGTCAATTCTCAGCCGCTTTGATCTGATGTCGTTGTTCAAGGCCCGAAGACAAGTTCGGCTGGAGCGACTTTGTACCTTGCATCAAGTTCAACAGAACTCTATGGCAAAATTGGCAAACCCAATGGCAAACAACGTTGGATTACCAGGCGGGATTTACGATATAATATATACAGTATTATATACAGTGTATATATATATATATGTATACACAATATTCAGTAGGCTTTCGGTACATTTCATGGTGATATATGGGTGAATCTCCAAAAATATTAACATCTAATTATATATATTTCCTGGGATCATATGACTCATAGCCTCAAAAAACACCAGGTTTCTCAACCTTTTGGATCGTCCCAGGACTGAAAAAGCGAAAAATCATTCACCAAGCACTTGATATTTCAACCATGGGTATATTTTTTTGGCTTGATCTTTGGTGAAAAATACTATGTTTACATTGCTGTGGTTTGTGAAATGTGAATTTTTTCAAATTGTAGAACTATCATTCTCTAACCGCAGAACTATCCAAGTTTTCCCTTCATACAACATTCCATTTTGAGTGATATCAGTGATATCTTATGGTACCGAGCAAGACAGTTGCCCTTTACACAGCCAACAAGCATTGAGACCCAAGACCAAGATCTCAAAGCACCAGGTAAAGCACCAGGTAACCATTGTGAAGTAATCAAGCAAGTCACAACAAGTGGGAAGGACGGAGAAAACCTCATGACTAACAATAAGACAGACGGAATTTCATTATTTGCGGTGTGGAGAAACCTTCACATACATTTATAGTACACATATTTATATCTAGTTTTAGATAGAGTCACATTATATATATATCATCAACAAACTCACATACATAATGTATCATACATATACATGTGTATATATATATGTACACATATATATATACACATAGATATACATATATTTAGATAGATACTCATAGATAAAATATAAATATAAATATGTATATATATATATATGTATATACACAGAACAGATACATATCTCACATCAACCAGCTGCAAATCAGCCAGCATCCCACCCCCAAGACTCCAAGGTGAAGAACGTGGGGCGCTACTTCGCCCAGGACGTCGCCTGGGACGCCGGCAACGCCGTGGTGCTGGTGGTGTCGCCGCGGGCGGTGGCGGGGCGCCAGGCGAATCCGCTGAACTTCTCGGTGGCGACGAAGCTGACGCAGAAGTTGCAGTGACGAAGCTGAAGTCTTTTGGAATATGATTGGGGAACTATTATCCATAATGTTATTGGGAATATTATTGGAACTATTGGGAATATTATTGGAATTATTGGGAATATTATTGGAACTATTGGGAATATTATTGGAATTATTGGGAATACTATTGGAACTATTGGGGAATATGATTGGGGGACTCCTCCAATAATCCATGGATTGTTAGGGAAATAGTTGGGGTACCCAATAACTGTTTGGGGAATTCACCAAAAAAATGGAGGACCAGCGAAAAGCAGGGTTTTGAAGGTGCTTAATAAAATTGTGAACTCCGGGGGCAGTTACAAATGCTCTTCCGCTTTCAGCCCAAGAAGGTCATGCAAGTTCCCAAAAATTGCCAAAAGAAACTGGGATATTTCCTAGTGAAAAGTATATCCATAAATATATGGTAAATGGTATATATCCATAAATATCACCATATTTTTTCCTATTTTCTTCCAAAATCTTGATATTTACATATGTCCCAAAGATCTTTGATGGTCAGCTTCATGGGCCCCACAACAAGATGACCTCAACGGTGATCAGCGAAGTAGAAATTCCGCAAATACAACAGTGCTGGTGGTATATCCACGCTATATCCCATGAAAACATTGAATCATTGAATACCTCATTTATATCCCATTTATATCCCACAATAGATGGTAAATGGCTTCATAAATATTCCATGGATACTCTATGTATTTCCCACAATAGATGGTTCATAAATCCTTCAGAGCGGCTATAGATGGTTACTACCATCTGTTAATTTAACAGTTTGCTCTTGAAAATGGCTCGTTTACTTCGTTGATTTACGTAGTCCATATGGTGATTTTCCATAGCTTTATGATAACGTTTGCCAGACGGTATATATTATGGTTATATGATATGGGTCATTTATAGAGGATATAGCACGACTAATCGTTTATCATAGATAATAATGGATAATCATTTATAAATCATACTATCATATATATATATAAATCATCATTATATCTAACTAATTATAGATGATTTACCCAGTTATAGACAGTTATAGACGATATACATTAGCATTACCCTCTGGTAATTTGTTACATAACTATGGAAAATCACCCATGTTTCATGGGAAAATTCACTATTTCTATGGTGATTTTCAATAGCTATTTTGACATAACCAGAGGGTAATGCACTGGGTAAATCATCGATGGGGACACCGAAAAGCCTCCAGGTATCGCATCGCCTCGGATACCTTTTCGAAGATTTCCAACCGCTATGGCGACACCCAGCTGGTGCACCAATGGTCATATGGGGATCGGAATTAGATCATTAGATGGGTTTATAATGGTATGTAAAATGATGTAAAATGGTTTTATAGAGTGTAATTATGGGTTTATACCATTATATATATATCAGTATATGATATGGGTTTATATATAATGGTTCATCTAATTATATCATTGGGTTTGTAATGGTTTATATAGAGTATAACTAACATGATTAACATAGTTCAAACAAACAATGTTTATATGGCATGGTATATGGGGACGGGTCGAAGACCATGATCATTACAGCAACCCCGAGTCATAGAGAACGAAAAGTGGGACATCTTGAAATACGGATGACATATGATCGAAGTAACCTCCTGGAAACACACTTTTCAGATTGTTTTTTGGGGATGGCTATACTTAAATAGTGGGGGCACCTAACCACATCTACTAGTCAACATTTGCAGGAGGATCAACACTAGGGTTTTTCACAATCCAGTATGGGGGATGCAACACTGGAATATCATATTATCCATTCATATTTCATGGGAACCAATTACATAGTTTCGAGATGTGGATTGGCATTTGTTTATGTTTCCATTCCATGTTATCCAATTGGAATATTATTATGTATATTATACTCTCCACCAATTAGCTTTGGGTGTGTCTTGAAATCGTCGGGGAATTTTCCCAGAAATGCTGTGGAAAATCGGGCAAATGATGATAGTCCATGGGACTTGGGAGTGCACTGTTTTCAAACAAAGCCAAATACACATCGGGGTTCCCAGAATGGGGGATCCCCAAAACCACAGGTTTCAATACTAAAATGATCTAATTTAGGATGATTTGGGGTACCGTTTTAGGAAAGCTCCACATGATCTACTTCATGCCCAAACTTGCTTCTTGTGATCCCTACCATACAAACATTGCCGCACAAGTGCTGACACGTATCTATCCTGACATTTATTATGACATGATTCTCACATGAGTTCGGGAACAAATCTGACATATCTACTGACCTGACATATCACATCAGCTCTGACACATCGTCTGACATTTGGTCTGGCTTATCTAATGTGACAATGTGATCTCACAAATGTCACCTGACACATATTCAAACATAGATTGCAACATTTGTCCTGGTGCGAATTTAATCTGACACATATTCAGACATGTATTTGTGTTGTGAGATTCTGGCAATTGCACGGAAAAACTCATCGAAGATTTGTTGCTGCAAATCAGTGAAAATGAGGTCAGAAAATTGAAAACTCTGGCAATTTCACTGTAAGATGGGGGTTTCATAAGTCATGGGAGATCTCCAGTCGTCACCATGGGTTTCAATACTAAGTCATGGTCATCCATGACTTGGAGGAGGATGATAAGGGGTACCCCCATGACTTTGGAAACCTCCATATATGTTCCATTAATAACCACTATCATCCATTAATCACTATTATTCATCATCATGACCAAAAAAAATCACCATTATTCATCACCAATATTCACCATTATTAACCATTGAAAACCATAAAATTAACCATTATCAATCATTACTAACCAATACTAACCATTGAGGTTTCAATATTTTCAGAACCGCCCTGTCGGCTCGTCGCTAGGTGGGCAAAGTGGGCGAAGGTGAAGCTGCGTCCCTGGCGGCGCTGAATGCCATCGCCTGTCTTCGGAAAGGGGTCTGCATGCAACCCCTCAGCGACGCTAAAAGGAATGGCTGGGGAAGCACCGGAACCCATTTTTTTTGAAAAAAAAACATGAACTCGTTTTTTCTTGTTTTTGGTGGAAGATGGTGGTGACTGGGGAGATGGTGAACTCTGATTTTTTTTTTGAGGTTTCAGATTGGTCAAGAATGAATGTATCTCCATAATGTGCATGGTTTAAGGTTGACAGTGACACATCTGTCCACTGGTGACCCAATGTTGACCACGACTTTGTTTTCTTCTTTTTACTGGGCATAGACTGGGTGAGATGGGCAGATTTCAATCACCATTACATCGCCATCAATTCCCATTGAACCACCATGGAACCCCGTTAGAATAACCATCAAAAAGACCGACACAATCCACCGGTGGCATCCCACGAATCACCGCATCATATCCCGATGCCTCCAAGGACGCAGAGGCGCGTTCCGTGGCCTTCGGCGCCGGGCAGGTGGCCGTGACCACCGAAGAGGCCTTGGCCAATGCAGGGGTGAAAGCCATGCGATGAGGTGGTGCCGAAGGGTGGGGTGGTCATGTATGGATGGGATTTTAACATATTTTAACATGGCATATTATAAATATATATAAATATTCATGATTCATGGATATTCATGGTGATTGGATTTCAATGGAATTCATGGAATTGATGTTTTTTTGTGATTTGATGATGTGTTCATACATGGTGATTCGCCAATTTAACCATAATGGAAACATGAATGATGATATATGATATATATATATGTGTATAATAGCCAATTGTGGTTCTTTTAGAAACACTTCCATCCCCCCGGTTCATATCAAACAGCCCCCAGAATTCATGGTGCAAGCCGACCTCTAGTCGAGTGTCATCAAAAATGGCTGGCTGGAAAACCCCCCCGACCGAAAAATGGAGGTTTATAGGTGGGAAAAAACATCCACACATGTTTTTTTTTAAATTAAAAACGTATATACCATGTTTGATTTCTGGGGGGTAGGATGATCATATAGCAACCTCCAAAAAGATGTCAAGTGTGTTTCCCAGGATGGTCAGGATAGTTTGTTGATGATGTTTCCTCCTTACTTCCCAGGTTACTAGCTTTTATATGGTGATCGGTGATGGGGGTGATAATATAAGATGGTCATAAAGGGTGGTGATGACAATGACAAGATGGTCACATTGTTGTTGATGATGATCACTTTGTTGTTGATGATGCTGCTGTTGCTGCTGCTGATGATGATGCTGATAATGATGCTGCTGCTGTTGCTGCTGTTGCTGCTGATGATGATGATGATGATGCTGATAATGCTGCTGCTGCTGATGATGATGCTGCTGCTGATGATGATGATGGTAATGATATTATGATAATCATATTTTGGGGAAAACGATGATATTTGGGTAATTTCAATGGGTGTGGCCTTTAAAAGGGGCGCATTCTACCCACACATATTTCAGGTCCTCGGATGTTGGACGCACATTTTTCAAGAGTAGAATTGGGCAGCCATATCTGGTAATCCAACATGGCTTGCTGGAAAATCTGGAAATCCCCTATTTGTAGGTGATGTTCCCACTTATATAAATATTTGTGAGATCTTCCAGCAAACCACGCTTGATCACCTGGAGAAACCTCTCCTCGCGCAAGGTCGAGAACAGCTCGCCCGAAAAACTCGCTGTTGGCGTGTCCACAAAAAAGGGCGCCGGCTGCCTGATAAACAGTGAGGAAAGTCAGCCCCAACTACTACCCTTTGGTAACAAATGTTGGCTATGGATCACCAGCATTTTCAACAGGGATTGATCAGCATAAGAATCATAATCATCTATACCCTCTGGTAAATTAACATAGACCCTGAAAATCACCATTTTTTAGAGCAAACTAATCTTCCAACCCCTATCTACCAGGGTCTATGTTAATTTACTGGAGGGTAAATGGTGTCATTTTCCATAGCGTATCTTCAACATCATCCCCAGGTTGGCGAAGGCGAAATCATCCCTATAGAGTTACCATTCCGATATTATCCTGTATAGTTCTATATATACCATCTGGTTATTTAACGTAGCCATGGAAAAACACAATTTTTAAGAGGTAAATCATCATTTTTATCATCCATTTCTATGGGCCATTGTCCATAGCTATGTTAGTCATAACCAGAGGGTATATACAGTATATATATATATACACACTATATACACATATTTGTCAGTGAACCATCCCGACAAACCCACAGTTGGGTATCCCATAGAATCAGTGAAAAATCATCAGTTTCACGACGAAAATCGTGGCAATGTGGGTGATAAATCACATGACATATCGAAATTCTATCCCACATTTTTGAACTGTGAATTTCCCACATTTTTTTGATGCTTATAGAACTTAAAATTAGAATCCTCCAACTTGATGAAGAGAGTAGTGGGAGAATTCACCGACAAACCGTCAGGCGGAGCTGGCTATACCTGCCCGGGGGCTCCAGATTTTTCTTCTCTTTTTGTTTTTGTGTGTCCATTTCATCTCAAAACGTCTCAAATTGGATTATCATATTTGAAGTGTTTTAGAGATAGTACCATGGCGATTGGAAAAACATGATGGTGATACATGAATCATATTCTAAGTATTGCCATGATGAAAGACATCTTTTTTTTTCCATCGATTTCAAGCTGGGCTGACCACTGGACTTCCAGTCCATTGGGGATTTGCCAATCATCAGCAGTAGATCATAATAGAAATGGTCAGTTTATAGCAAAAATCCTCAGGGAAAACTCACTGTAGATTTCCAGGACCCACAAGCTGTCTATTTACATTCAAATGAAGGAGGCCAATGAAGCAAATACCACATTCAAACCCGTTGAGTACTGGTCATGAGCATGTGTTCAAGATAGTGGTTCAGTACCTTTCTTGAGTCAATTGGGGTCGCCATATGAAAAAGCCTGAAACGCCGGAATGCGTTCCCAAATTCTTGCTATTTGATTCCCACTGACGTTATATTTCCAGCCATATCCCAAAAATATATCCCTGAAATGAAGCCAATAATACGCTAGAATAGCTATATGGCTTTTGTAGCCCCAAAATCCAGTGGTTTTGATGTTTTTTTCACCTCAATATCCAGAACCAGTTCGGCCACATCCCGGTGAGGCTCCGTCGCTGAATGCTGGCGCCCTGGAGTTTCTCCCGGAGCCGGCGGAGGAGATGTTGGTCATGGAGGCGACAAAAACGGTGAGGGGTTTCCATCAATGGGGGTACCCCAATAGCTGGATGTGGATGGTTTATTTCATGGAAAATCCCGATCTATAAATGGATGATAACTAGGGCTGCCCCCATAAAACCATTTTAGGACACCTCCATGTAGATGTATATGCATGTGCATCTCGATGTGTATGTAACAGATTATTTTCATATACCCCTTAAGGGGCATTACCCCTATAAATCAACCATTCTTGGGAAATATCATATATATATATATAATCATATAGGTATATCATTATATAATCTATATTTAACCCATAATTATGGGGTTGTCCAATTGGGATATATGAAAATATTCCATTCGTATGGGAATGTGGATGTGGATGTGTATGTGATAGTGGAATGACATGTAATGTAATGCAGTGGAATGCACGACAATGCAACGTAATGTAATGCATGTATGCACCTCAAAAAAGTATATAGATCTCAACGAAACGAAGCAAGTTGATCAATTCATTCCCTTGTATGAAAGAGTCATTTTTCCCCAACTACTGGGATTTGGGGATGAGTCCTACCATTGGTTGATGAATGAGCATGCAGCTTTATACCAGCTATGATATGTCAAGACGACAGTTTTAAAAGTTTTTGATGCCAACAGCAAAATATTGTTTTTTTCCCCAACAGCGTAAGCTAATGGGATCTTCAGCCCAGAATAGCTCCGGTGTGCAGTGGTGCAGGCGCCGGTTCAGGTTCAACGAGGTTCCGGAGAAGGTTCCGAAGGTTCCGGAAAAGGTCTGGGAGGCTTTGGTGCAGAGCCAGGTCAGGTTCAACAGGGTTCCGGAGAAGGTTCCGGAGAAGGTTCCGGAGAAGGTTCCGGAGAAGGTCGGGGAGGCTTTGGTGCAGAGCCTGCTTGGGTTCAACAGGGTTCCGGAGAAGGTTCCGGAGAAGGTCAGGGAGGCTTTGGTGCAGAGCCAGGTCGGGTTCAACAGGGTTCTGGAGAAGGGGCCTGGGTGGCTTTGGTGCAGAGCCGGGCCAGGTTCAACAGGATTTGCAGCCATTTAACTCACGGAAACCCAGCTGAAGTGTTTCCAGCGCTTGGCTTCGCAGCACGCTTCAGAAAGATTTGTAAAGATAAAACTTTGCGGCTGTTGGGGGTACCACCAAAGCTTATTTGTAAAGAAATCTTGACAATATGAACGGTTCTTAAGCTCTGATAGGTCATAAGAACCGATGGGTCATAAGAACCGTTGAAAGGCTTCCAAACAGCATGTCTAGTAGTTCATACAATAATCTTGCACAGTTGTTCACGTGCCCAAAACTTACCCACCTGGAAACCACCATGGCTCCCAGGTGTCAGCGTTGAGAAGAAGTTTGTTTTGGCCCGCCTAACTCCCCTGAGCTGTTGTGCTGTCGCGCCTGTTTTTTTCTCCCCAACAGCGTAGTAACCTATGGGGTCTTCAGCCCAGAATAGCTCCGGTGTGCCGTTGCCTGAAACCTTCTCCGGGGCCTTCTCTGGAACCCTGTTGAACCTGACCTGGCTCTCCACCAAAGCCTCCCAGACCTTCTCCGGAACCTTGTCCGGAACCTTCTCCACAACCTTCTCGGAACCGTGTTGAACCTGGGCTCTGCACCAAAGCCTCCTGGAACCTTCTCCGGAATCTTCTCCGGAACCCTGTTGAACCTGACCCGGCTCTGCACCAAAGACTCCCGGACCTTCTCCGGAACCCTGTTGAACTGACTTGGCACTGCACCGAAGCCTCCCAGACCTTCTCCGGAAGCTTCTCCGGAACCCTGTTGAACCTGACCTGGCTTTGCACCAAAGCCTCCCAGATCTTCTCCGGAACCTTCTCCGGAACCCTGTTGAACCTGACCTGGCTCTGCACCAAAGCTTCCCAGACCTTCACCGGAACCTTCCCTGGAACCCTGTTGAACTTGACCTGGCTCTGCACCAAAGCCTCCCAGACCTTCTCCGGAACCTTCTCCGGAACCCTGTTGAACCTGACCTGGCTAGTCTCCCCGACCTTCTCCGAAGCCTTCTCCGGAACTTTCTCCGGAACCCTGTTGGACCTGACTTGGCTTTGCGCCAAGGCTTCCTGGAACCTCAACCTTCTCGGGAACCCTGTTGATCCTGACTTGGCTCTGCACCAAAGCCCGCCGGGTCAGGTTCAACGAGGTTCCGGATGGGGGAGGCTTTGGTGCAGGGCCAGCTTGGGTTTAACAGGGTTCCGGAGAAGGTTCCGGAAAAGGCTCCGGGAGGCTTTGGTGCAGAGCCAGGTCAGGAGAAGGTCCCAGCGCTTGGCTTGGCAGCATGCTTCAGAAAGATTTTTAGAAATAAAACTTTGCGGCTGTTGGGGATACCGCGGAAGCTTGTTTGGATTTGATTGTTTCAAAATGATTCAAACATCTGGGTTTGTTCCATGAGAATAGAGGTGGGCTGAGGATCCCCCTATTTTCTTTCAGAGCCCGGGCAGAGAATGGATAACCCACACCAACTCAATGACCCTGGCGAACCTCAAATAGATGGGACTTATGGCTGTAAAAAACTGTGAATCCCCTCCAGTATCCTCCAGTCATATGTCACGTCACAGGTTTTGATTCATCCCACATGTATGAAACCCAGCAAACCGATCCACCATTTTTGGTAGGTGATTTTGTCATCTTTAATGGCATAACCCATAGATGTCATTGATATCCATAGATCAGAGAGATTCCATAGATCATAGCCCATATGGCCCCATGGCAGTAGAACTCGTTCTTAATGGGATGATAGGCTCCTTCCTGGTGCCCTTGGCAGGTGGTACCACGCCCAGATCTTCCGTTGGATGAGACCTTCGAGACTCAAGGCTTTGATGGAGGATTGATGGGTTCTTGGACTCGAGGGCTGGAGGGGAATCTTGTCATGGGAATAAGGGAAAATCTACAGGAAAACGAATTTCCGGTTAACATTTTCCCACCAATCCATTGATCTTGGGTATTTCGTACTATCTGGTAAGTAAGAGTCAAAAACTACTTCAATTGGTACAGAAAAAGGACCTGCTGGAAGAGCGTACCAGGCAAGATAGAAAGTGGATCCAACATCTGAAAGATATGTTCTAGCCTTATGACATTTGAAGTCTCTAGGATGGAGGTTTTTCATATATACATGAATATATATATATATATACAACATGATTTTGATGAAATTGTTCAGTTCTGATTTATTGTTATGATTTGTTTCTGGCCTGGTTTTGCAGTTATGATTTTGGTATGGTTTCAGTTATGATTTTGACATGACATGGGTCAACATTGTGATTTTGATATCGGTCAAAAGGGTGAAAATAACTCGAAAACATATCAGAATCAAATCAGAATCGCATCAAAATCGCCCCAAAATCGCATCAAAACCACATCAAAACCATATCAAAATCATATCAAAATCATATCAAAACCATAAAAACCCTTGAGAAATCGACCAAAAGCCTGTTCCTGGGCTGTTATTCTTTCCTTTTTTGCAGCCAACCCACCGCAACCCTAAAAAAGAAGCTCCTGTCCTGAAACCAAATCAAAATCAAATGAGAATCATGTCAAAATCGTATCAAACTCGTATCAAAACTGTATCAAAACCATACCAAAATCATATCAAAACCACAAAAACCCGCGAGAAATCGACCAAAAGCCTGTCCTGGGGCTGTTTCTGTTTCCTTTCTCAAAACCAGCCCATCGGGAACCCTGAAAAAGGCGCTCCGTTCCCAAACCATATCAAAACCATATCAAAATCATGTCCAAAACCATATCTAAGCCATAACCCAAATCATATCAAACATATAACAAAACTATATGGAAATCATAACCCCAAATTCAAAACACATCAAAACCATATTAAGTTAAAAGCCGTGAATTTGGCAGCCTAGAATGATTTAACTGTCAAAATAGAATCTAGCCTTACTTGAGATAAATGTCATTGATTTACAGTACTCCTTTTCGTGGTATCTTGGGTAATTTAGGTTGCAGAGACACACATCAAGCATCCGACATCGGTGTAGTTTGTGGTCCAGTCATGCATGTATACAAATACATGTATAGATATAGTCATACACACACATATATATTATTATATAAATAATGTGCATGTACATATATGTATGTATATACACTGGTAGGACCAAAGTTGCGCTTGTTGAGCTTCCCACAGTGAACATGTTTGAAAGGAAGACGAAGACAAAGCCGAAAAACGGAAGCGGCTTGTGTAGCAAGGTTTGCTGTAACAACCTATTGACCGTATACCAAATTAGGACCGCCCCCAGCAAAGTAGCGCCAGGTACTATGTATGAGCCTCTGGCATTGACAGCAGACCGCTGCATGGAAGGAGACAGGGGAGAAAGATTGGCCCAAGGGAGGTTGACGTGCACGCCGGGTGGAAGCCTGAGAGAAGAAGAGACGAAGACAGAGCCGTAGATCAGAAGCAGCTTGAGTAGCAAGTGCGTGCTTGAACAGCCAATGGGGCATACCACATGAGTACTGGTCGATCAGTACCATGTGCGTCCTATGACGGGTACCTGTAGCCGACGGTAATGCTATAGGCAATGTCATGATGTAGTAGTAGTAGTAGTAGTAGTAGTAGCAGTAGTAATAGTAGTAGGAGTAGTAGTAGTAGTAGTCAGTACTAGTACTAGTACTAGTACTAGTAGTAGTACTAGTAGTAGTACTAGTAGTACTTTGTACTTGTACTAGTAATACTTGGAGGAATGGGGGGTGAGGGGAGGTGACCTTGATTCAGACGAAGCAAAAACGTGCAGCAAGAGCACAAAGGAACAAGTATAAGCCAAGAACAGAAACAAGAACAACACCTTCCAACCAGACACGCCGGCAGGCCGGTGGATTTAAAAGAGGGTAATAATTGACCGTCCCACACCTGCCACACAAAACGGACTTGAACATGTGATCCGCAGTTGACCGAGATGGATGTTTTGTAAAGCTTTCACGAACCATAAACTTTGCTTCTCCTGAAGGGTACGAAAAGCTTATTTAGTGGGAATTGCTAAGTCATCTGCTGATTTTTGCACCTGCTTCAGCCTGGTCATTACTCCACATAACATGTCTGTCTCCATCCTCTTTGTCTGCACTGCTACACATGTGCCGTGACGCGGTATGTATACACATACACTATGATATAATATACACACTACATACACTCTGTATGCCTGGTATGTCTATTTGCCGCCAGATCCCCACCGGGAGTGATCTCAGGTTTTGACTATGGCCCGAGCATGGAGGCATCCACCTTTGATGCCGGAGGCGGAGGCACCTCCCACTGCTACTATAGCAACTTTTTTTCCAGGAATTTCTGGTGGCACATATATGGATATATATATATAAACATTTAATACATGCATATATTTATATATGTATAAATATAAATAAATAAATATATATATACACACACACACACTTCATTTTTACTTATTCAAATATCATAGGGTTTTACTACCACATCAAGACCTCCCTTATATCCCCCGTCCCAACGGCAGGATACCTGGAGCCGATGGATGGCGATCCCATGGCATATCAAAGCTATGGAGGCAGCTACGATGGAGGCGGGGTCAGCGGCCAAAAATTGTGATGCTTAATTTTTTTTTGGAAAAATACGACGGGGGCTGAAAAAAGACACTTGGTTAGAACTTGAACTCTTCATAGGGACTTGTGGTCCCCAAGAATTTTGGCTGAAGATGGACATTTTTCCATGGGCTTTACAGTACTAAGCACGACCCTTTTTGGGATGGCCAGTGCCTTTTTTTTGGTCCGTGACTTTGGGGATTCGATCTTCGAACGACATGGCGGACCCGGCAAGGAATTCATGCGGAAATGGGAGAAACACCGCAGCGCATGTCTTGTGAGGAAATGTGGCCGGACCATGTGGGATTTTTCCCTTCGCCGACCTCTAAGCGGCAAGACCATACACGCCTTTGATGCCTAGGTCATAGTTTTCAACGCCCAGACTGGGATTCATGCCGCGCTGTCACAACTGGTTGGTAGCTTCATGATTTTGGCAATATTCCTCAATCATCGCGTGGAACTATATATATATATATGAATATAAATGTAGATGCATACATTTATGTACACAGATGCACATACTGTATACACAAAAATATCCTCGGCACACCTCCAGGCTACAATGCTTCCTACGAGATGGGTCAAATGGGTTGCTGGGCAATGTTTTTGTGGAAGTCGCATCGTGCCATGCGAGTTATTTTTCATAAACGATGATGTAGAGTGGGTCTTATATACATTTTTTTTAAAGGTCTTATATGTATATATATACATGTAATATATGTATGTATGTATGTATGTATGTATGTAATGTATGTATGTTATGTAATGTAATGTAATGTAATGCAACGTAATGTAATGTAATGTAATGTAATGTATGTATGTAATGTATGTAATGTATGTATGTATGTATGTAGGTAGGTAGGTAGGTAGGTAGGTATGTATGTATGTATGTATGTATGTATGTAATATATGTAATATATGTATGTATGTATGTATGTAATGCATGTATGTATGTATGTATGTATGTATGTATGTATGTATGTATGTATGTGTGTGTATGTTTGTTTGTGTTGTTTTGTTATGTTATGTTATGTTGTGTTGTGTTGTGTTGCGTTATGTAATGTAATGTCATGTAATGTAACGCCATGTAATGTAATGTAATGTATGGTATGGTATGGTATGTTGGGTATGGTATGGTATGTTGGGTATGGTATGGTATGTTGGGTATGGTATGGTATGTTGGGTATGTGTGGTATGTTATGTATGTATGGTATGTTGGGTATGTATGGTATGTTGGGTATGTATGGTAAGTTGGGTATGTATGTTATGTTGGGCATGTATGGTATTGTAATGTACGTATTGTAATGTATGTGTTGTATTGTATGGATTGTAATGTATGTATTGTGATGTATGTATTGTAATGTATGTATTGCAATGCATGTATTGTAATTTATGTATTGTAACGTATGTATTGTATCAAACGTATTGTGTCAAATGTATTGTAATGTATGTATTGTAATGAATGTATTGCAATGTATGTATTGTAATGTGTGCATTGTAATGCATGTATTGTAATGCATGTATGGTAATGTATGTAGTGCATTGTATGTATTGTGTTGAATGTATTGTAACGTATGTATTGTAACGTATGTATTGTAATGTATGTATTGCAACGAATGTATTGTAATGTATGTATTGTAATGTATGTATTGTAACGTATGTATTGTAATGTATGTATTTTAATGCATGTATTGTAATTTAAGTATTGTAACGTATGTATTGTAATGTATGTATTGTAATGTATGTATGTAATGTATGTATTGTAGTGTACGTATTGTAATGTACGCATTGTAATGTACGTATTGTAATGTATGTTTTGTATTGTATGTAATGTATGTATTGTAACGTATGTATTGTAATGTATGTATTTTAATGCATGTATTGTAATTTAAGTATTGTAACGTATGTATTGTAATGTATGTATTGTAATGTATGTATGTAATGTATGTATTGTAGTGTACGTATTGTAATGTACGCATTGTAATGTACGTATTGTAATGTATGTTTTGTATTGTATGTAATGTATGTATTGTAACGTATGTATTGTAATGTATGTATTTTAATGCATGTATTGTAATTTAAGTATTGTAACGTATGTATTGTAATGTATGTATTGTAATGTATGTATTGTAATGTATGTATTGTAGTGTACGTATTGTAATGTATGCATTGTAATGTATGTATTGTTAATGTATGTAATGTACTGTATGTATTGTAATGTATGTATTGTAATGTAAGTATTGTAATGCATGTCTTGTAATGTATGTATTGTAATGTATGCATTGTAATGTATGTATTGTAATGTATGTATTGTAATGTAGGTGTTGTAATGTATGTATTGTAATGAATTCATTGTAATGAATGTATTGTAATGTATGTAGTCGAAATATATGTATACTATGTATGCTATGTATGTTATGTATGTAATGTGTGTTTTGTATGCTATGTATGTTTTGTACCTGTCTATGTACGAATGTAATGTAATGTTTGTTATGTACTGCATGTAATGTATATCATGCAATGTGTGTAATGTAATGTATGTAATGTATGTAATGTATGTAATGTATTTACTGTATGTAACAGTATGGTTGGTATGGTACGGTATGGTATGGCATGGTATGATATGTATGTAATGTATGTAATGTATGTAATGTATGCAATGTATGCAATGTATGCAATGTATGTAATGTATGTAATGTATGTAATGTATGTAATGTATGTTATGTTATGTATGTATGCAATGTAATGTAATTTAATTTAATTTAATGTATGTAATGTAGTGTAGTGTAGTGTAATGTAATGTAATGTAATGTATGTATGTTATGTATGTTATGTATGTATGTATGTATGTATGTATGTATGTAATGTATGTATGTATGTATGTATGTATGTATGTATGTATGTATGTATGTATGTATGTATGTATGTATGTATGTATGTACGCATGTATGTATGTATGCATGTATGTATGTATGTATGCATGTATGTATGTATGTATGCATGTTTGTAATCTAATGTAATGTCATGTGATATGATGTGATGTGATGTAATGTGATGTAATGTAATGTAATGTAATGTATGAATGTGTGTATGGATATGCATATATATATATATATGTATGTATGTATATGTGTATGTATATGTATATGTCTATGTATATGTTTATGTATCTGTATACGTATATTGTATATGTATATGTATATGTATTTGTATATGTATATGTATATGTATATGAATGTGTATATGTATATGTATATGTATATGTATATTTGCAAGAACGTGTAAGAGTGGTCATGTTGCAACCGAGTCCTAAACATTATGATGACCACACACCAAGTGGGATACACATCCAAGATCAAAACTTATGGGATTATCTACGCCTTTTGGGATGGAATGGTTTATCTCCAACAATGAGATTACTATGCATTCGGATGATGCGTTGCATAGGCCTTTCTTGAGGAAATGTGCCGGGGCTTAGTTACGTAGCTTGATACAACTTAATTCTTAGCGAATTCATGTTTTTTTTTGAATCATGTACCCAGCTCAAGAACAACAATTGGGTCTGATTGAAAATGCGGTATACCCGCAAAAATTGAATTTTTAATAGGGAGAATGACGATGAAACAAGAGAATTTGGGGTACTTCACTTTCAGACAAACCCATTCTTTGTAGGGTATCTAAGATTAGCAAAGTGTATAGTATATGTACCCGCCAGTAAAACGTGACAAGGCGAGTCCAATTCCGATCACAACGACTTCCTAACAGTGGTTACCATTAGTTCTGGGGACCGCCAGATTCTGCAGCAAAGAGCAAAAACAACAAACTCCATGGCATATATGTATGTATGTATGTATGTATGTACATATATATGGAGGTTTCCTAAAATAAAATAACCACCAAATCATCCATTTTAATAGGATTTTCCATTGTAAACCATCCATTTTGGGGTCCACATATATATATATATATGTATATTATATGTATACATAGAGATACAGAGAATACACGTAGACCTTTCTTGAATTGAACAGCGTTGACCGTAACCCGTGGACGACAAAATCCCAAGGTTATAGCGCTGAAACCCATAGCTATGGCTCCTACGATGGCTACGAGTCAAATTACCCAGCGCAGGCGCGGAAGTTTCGCGGTGAAGGGGCCTTGGTGGTGAAGGGTTCAGAATGGTGTATGATTTTGGTTATGGTTGAAGCATGGTTTACTTCTAGTTGATTTATGGTTTATTCATTCACACTCCCTCTCACCAACATGACGACCCATATTGAGAGTGTTGGATTGGAAGACTGCTTTGCTTGTAAGAGATGGGTTTTCAGGGTCTATATTTGTTGGCGGATGCTTTATATGTATGTATATATATATATATATAAATATTTCAGGAATCATGTGCAGAGACACATGTTGGACCAACACAAGCTCATTGGGACAGAACAAGTTGGTTTCGCAATTTCTGTGTTGATTAGTGTTGGCAATGTCATAAATCACCCATATTTTGATGGTTTATACCACCCATTTATGGTAACTTTTGGGGTGGTTTACTATTACTTGATGCCTCAATTGGTACCCCTTGAGGCAGCACTCCTGCAACACTCCCCTGGACATTTCACGACAACTGCGTCGCCTTCAGCCCAGGAGTATGACAGCTACGGCTACATGCAGGACGTTGATGAAGCGATTGATGAGTTATCACTGTGGTACACCCAACAATAAAACAACAAATTTAGGAGGTTGTTACCATTTCTGCTGCCATTGGGGATTGTTTTGTGTTGGCAGCACATGATGCAACCTGGTTGATTGTTGATTATGAACTGAAAAAATGAGCTGGGAAACCCAATGGCAGCATATCCAACCAATCCAACCAACAACTGTTTTTTGGGATGAGAGGATGAGATTTCGAGATTGAAGACGGCTTAGCTGCACAGTCGCAGTTTCAGGTTTAGGAAGGCAGACTGCGAGGTTTCCACAATGAAAATGATTGAAGATTATGCAACAATCTTCTCGAACATAGAAGTTAGTTTGATCAATACCACGAGGATTTTAAGCCACAATCAACGATACCCACGCGTAGGTGCATCTTGGTGGCACATAGCAATCTGGGCCCTTTTTTGGTCTGCAAAATGGACGATTTTCTTTGTTGACCATGCATGGATCCATTGGGAAAACATCTTCGAGTAATGAGTAAGCCCAAGAAAGATAAAAACCATCAAGCGCACCCAGAATTGTCATGATTTTGCCCTGAGGGGAGTATCAAACAATAAACACCCTACCCCAAAAAAAGTGAATTTCCAACCACGGGTTGATCATCATGTTTTCATACCTGCCATCATCCCCAAGTCACATCCTAAATGGGTGGTATATGGTGGTATCATTCCTGAAATCATAAGCTTCTTGGGTAGATTTTCCATGACATTGAATGACATTGCCCCATGTCGTCCCATGTATGTTGCGGAATGATGTGGAACGGATGTCGAGGACAGCCTCCAAAGTTCATGAACAATGGGGAATAGTCAGAAGAGCTACCCTTCGGTATTCAAACGTGGAAATGAACAATACATCCATTGATAAATGTTTTTTCCACATTTTCCCATTAAAACCGAAATTTCTACGAGATTTGCCATTGCAATGTTTGATTAACGGAGGGTACATCAGCCATCGGAGCCATAAGAGATGAAGCAGAAAGCATCGGTTCGGGAGAACGTTCCGGCCTTGGAGGAGTGTATCTTATTGCATATCGTGATCACCCGTGACACAAATATCCATATTTACCCATATATATTAAATATCCATATGTATATGCCTATGCATTACGTTTAAAAATAGATATTTTCATGTACGCAAAAATGTAAATGTATGTGTGTATATATATACAGTATATATATACACACTATACAAACATCTAAAGTTTTAACAATTTCCGACACAGCGGTTGGTTTTAAGTTGCTGCTAAATGCCGATTCACGAGCTTCAAGAGTAGAGGAGGCGGACTTCAAAAGCAGGGCCCTTGGAATTCTGAATGAAGTCGTGGGAATCGGTGAAAATTACATATCTCCAAACATGGTTGGTTAGAGATTGACGCCCTTTATGTATTAAATCTAGAGGCCCATGGTTTGAACCATGGCCTTCGCATGTGGGGGACATTCTTGCTGCAAAAACAATTAATTTTGTTGACGTCTGCGATCTGCTGACATTCCTGAAGGCTCGGTTTGCCCCAGATTCTGTTCAGAGCCGGGAGGCACGATCTTCAAGATATCAAGGTGTGACCAGCAATCGAAAAAACCATGGATCTGGTTGGGGCTATGGGCTAAGATGCAGTATTCCCCTGTACTTGTGCTGGCTTGGGCAGGCGCGGCCATGAAGCAAGCAACACAGCAATCTCTTGCGCAGGAACATGGCTGGAGCGAACCGGGCTGGAATGACAGTGCCCCCTTTGCAGGTGCTTCGATTTCTGTTTTCTCAAGCTGTTGCGGCTGGTCAACTTCGAGTTGACCAAGAAAGAGCCACACCACATGTTTCGGCAAGTAGCAGATGTAGAGATGAGCGGGATGGATTATGAAACCCCAGGTTGCGATCACAGAACATTGGAGGTTTCTCTGCGTGTTAGGTTGTGTTTGTCAGCTTTCCGACGATTGAAAGTGAACTGAGCATAGTAGCTGTAGGCGTTTCTCATTCATATGGTGTTTTTCTTTGATGCAGAGAGGCGACGAAATGCCTTTGCAAGAGGCACGATCAGCAATGGGGGACTCAAGCATGAGAATCACACGCCCAGGCTACCTGAACGGCACCCAACTCGAGAAAACAACTGTAATTATTAGGATTAGAAGATGGCTGTTGCCATTTTAGGGCAGGCATCTTCGATATTGGCAACGAAGCAGGGCCAAAACATAATTTAGTAGGCACATTACGAACCTGTAGTTGGCTCCAGTTATCTTCCGGAAATGCTTTGGGCGTAGAAGAAACCGCCATTTTTTGGTTGGGCCTGTGGGACTCATCCAATGATGGCGCGGATTTAACGATGGGAATTTCGACAAGTGGGGAAGTGGGGATTCACCTAACACATTTAGGGGATAATGGGCATGGACCATGGATGAAAATGGAAGATTCAATCAATGCCGTATGGCTACCTTTTGGGGATGGTTTGAACCCCATGACTTTACATCACACGGCTCTACAATACAATCCAAACATGCAGTTCAAATAACTACTTATACATTCGATAAATATGGGTTTGTCTTCAAACAAGGGCCCCAAATGTCATGGTTTTTCAGATTTATCATTACTTTCCCCATTGAAATTGCCATGCATTGCGGGCAAATCCACCATTTCTGGGCATCCAATTGAAACTGGTGGTGCGTTTCAGGATCGTTTCCGCAGAAACATGACCCATATTGATGAACATTTACTCCATAAATTTATATCCCAAATTGGTTTAGACCAAAATCTGCAAGACACCCCAGTATTGTGGGATAAACACCAACGTTTCTTGTAGATTTTCCCTTGAACCAATCCATTGATTATAGTACTCATCATACCATTGGCCTGGTTTGGTTTTGGTCCCGCGCATGATCCATTTTGAACACCGCGAGGTCTCTCAGCCATCGCAACGTGGGTTTCCCCTGTACTCTCCTTTCAGTGCGGAGATGATGGGATTGGATGATGTCTTTTGAAAAAAATGATGTTCATACGATTCATACATATATCCCATCAATATCCCATCTAAATCTATATGGTTTAACTATCAATCAATTAATAACCATGTTTGTTTTGTTTTTGATCTCTTTTGATGTTGGACGATGTTCTTTGAAGGTGATTGGTGCTGAAAAAAAGTGAACGTTGGGGTCTGATGGAAAGGCCAATCTTCAATCCTTGTTTTCTTGGCCAAGAATTTGGCCAACAAATCTGATCCCCATGTGGACTCAGAAAGTCAGCTCAGTCCCTGGGTCATTTTCAGAAGGAAACCATGTGGATAAGTTTGATCACACACTCATGGCGCGACGTCAATGAGGGGAAGTGGATTGGGATGGTTTTATCCCCAAATGGCCCTGAGTCAGGTTTGTGAATTGATCACATCCGTGGAATACTCAACACCAACTTGGGACTTGTGAAAGTGGTAAACCCAATCATAGGTGTTTTTTGTTGGACACTTCTGGGATATATATATATATATATCTACATATACATATCTTTCATACATCATCAGTTTGCAGTTTTGAAGTTCATAGATTGGGTATATCGCGGCAATGTGATGATGTTTATTGTGACCCTTTTGTGGTTGGTTTTTTGGAATGCTCGTATTGCCTTTGGGGCGTACCTCAGGCACATGGGTCTTCTCGCAGGAAGACAAGGTCGGGATATCAGCAAACATGCTGTCCCCCAAGAAAACGGCAAAAACTGGGGAGCGTGGCCGACAACCTTTTGGATGCATCAAAATCAAGACTTTCCAAGAAGAACTAGTTTATTTTCTACCATTTTCTTTTCTCTAGATTCAACTCAAGATGCATATTCTTTGCTGGCTATCCTGAGGTGATTGCCATGAATTGAGAAAGTCTCGCTAAAAAAGTACGGTTGCTTTTCTACTATCTTTTTGGAGCTGGGTTCTGAAACCAGGAAAGCAGTGCTGCACCCTTGGTCTGAATCCCAGAGTCCCAAGGGGAGGGGTGCAACATATGTGCCACGCAGATGTCAACTCTTGGACACTTGACCAGCCAATTCCGGTTTGTCTGGCAATCTGAAAACGGGGTACTTATATAGACTCCAAACTCCACTGGTATATCATCGTTTTCCTATTGAACAACTTCCATTCATAAAATGTGGTGATACGCGTTTACAAACAGTTTTTAGACAGACTCAGTTGATATATACAATTATTTATATATCTTACAAATATCTTATATAAATATTATATGTAATTACTATATAATATGTATTCTGTTATATATAATATATTATATATTATGTATATTATATATGATATATATATATATATATTATATAATATGTTATATATTTTGTATATTATATATGATATTTATATATTATATAATATATTATATATTATGTATATTATATATTACATATGATATATATCATTATATTATATACTGTATATATTTTATTATGTATATATTATATATCATATGAATTTTATATTATGTATAATATACATTATATATATTATATACATTATACATATTATAAATATATTACAACATATTATATATTTTATATTATTGAGTATATATTATATATATTATATATATTATATATTATATATTATATATCATATATCCTATATATCATATATATATATTATATTTTTATATTATATATATTATTCTATTGTATATTTTGTATATCATATATATTTTATTTTTTTTGAATATTATTTTTATTATTCTATTGTTTATGATATGTATTATAGATAATATATATATTTTATGTATTATATAATATATATTATTTATAATGCATATATTATTTATAAAACTATCAATTATATTATATATTATAAATATATATATATATATACAATATTTATTTATTTTCTATTATATGTTACTGTATATATTATGAACTATTTATTATATATTGTATACTATATATTATATATTATATAGTGTACATTATATATAATATACTATATAATATATATTGCATACTATATATAATATATTATATTTTATTTATCACACATTATTTATTATATATTTATTTTTTACTATATATTTTATATTATATATTTTATATTATATATTATACATTTTATATTATATATTATATATATTATATTTTTTTAATATTATATATGTATATATTATATATTATATATTTTATATTATATCTTATATATTATATATTATATATTATATATTTTATATTATATATTATATATTATATATTATATACACATATATAATTTATATATATATATATTATTCCATGGCATACCATGACATATCCCCATTTATATCCCCATGAAATATCCTAACAAAAACACACTTTTTGGATGGTTTTCTCACAGAACATTCATCTACATCAGAACATGCCATTTCGTGAGGTTTCCCCATTGCTTGGTCGCCTTTTGGCTCGCAGAATTTAGAAGCACCGGATCCTCGATCAAATTGGCGTTTTCTCTTAGGCGCCGTGACGTCCAGTGCCGCAGTGCCGTTTGAAAAGTAAGGCTTTCTGTTTTTTTTTGGGATTTCCAAGACAGTGATATCTGATTTCTAATCATCTATTCATCTATTCATCTATTCATCTATTTATCTATTCATCTATCTATATAGCTACCTACCTATCTACCTACCTATCTATCTATCTATCTAACTATCTAACTAACTAACTAACTAACTAACCAACTAACTAACTAACTAACTAACAAACCAACCAACTAACTAACTAACTAACTAATTAACTAACTAACTAACCAACCAACCAACCAACTAACCTATCATAACCTATCTATCTATCTATCTAATCTTATGCATTCTGATCTAATCTTATCACAACTTATCAAATCTGATCAAATTTTATCAAATCTTATCAAATCTTATCAAAACCTATCACAACTTATCAAAACTTATCACAACTGATCAAATCTTATCAAATCTTATCAAATCTTATCAAATCTTTTCAAATCTTATCAAGTCAAATCAAATCAATCTACCTATCTACCTATCTACCTACCTACCTATCTACCTATCTGTCTATCTATCTATCTGTCTGTCTGTCTGTCTGACTGAATATATCTAAGATCCAATAATCTGATATCTCTCCAGATCTCATATCTATCTATTTATCGATCTACCAATCGATCGCTCTACGCCTCTACGCGGCGCAATGCGATTCTTCGGGTGGAAATTCAACGTTCCAATGGGGATCACCAGCAGAAATCATCCATGGCTAAAGCAGCTTCAAGTTGACCCAAGCAACATACGGGTGACCAGGTTCCGAAGGGTTCCGAAGGGTTCCCGTCCAGGGCGATGAAGTTCCATGACCAGCAGAGGTTCGACCAGCTGGTGGAAGCTGATGGTTTATGGATACGGAATCATACGGATACGGACGTATTTCTTGAGCTAGTTTGCCTTGCAAATTGCCCAATCAAGTTACATTTTATTTCCACACTCATTACATCTCATCACTCTGCATATGGATATGGATATGCGTCAAAGTTGAAACCACACCGTGGGACAGAGGTATTTTTGTCTGCCACTGTGGCACTTTTCCCGAAGTGGAGATCTTCCGGAGAGCTCTTGGCTCTATTTCAAATGCAAAAGTTGTCTATATAAACAGACTCAACCATTTTTTTCCAGGCCCATAAAAATAGATGATTCAGCTACAAAAATGGTGGATCTTTCCATAGTTCTGTGCGTTTTTTTTGAAGGTTTTTGTCGGAGACGATACACAGAGTCGATCAAAGTTGATGAGTTGGGACCCACACATGGGTCACTGTCAGCAGATGTAACATGTCGACTTGGCATCCAATTTTGATACACGGCCAGGGTGATAGTTCTCAAGAAGTGGGACATGATGCCGGTGATGGCCAGGGGAGGGTGACCCACAAAACACTAGAAGTCACCAGCGAAATTTCTAGCTGCCGCCCAAATGCAGTGAAAATCAGATGGACAGGTCATTTGTACAATTTCATTTTTAAGATTTTTTGGGGCAATCAACTTTGATGCATGCGGGGATTGTGACTTGTGACACTGCTGAAATCTCCGAACTTGAGGGTATGGAACGTCTACATTCTCTTGTGATCTTTCGTAGAGCTCTCCGATTTATTTCTGATACAAAGGTCTTCTATAAGTGGGTATAAACTTATAAACATGAAGGATTTTCCACTGCTAGCTTGGATTACAGAGGCTACCTCATTCACCCATCCATTGACTGTGACCCTTGATGCATTGGCCCAGTTCTGTCAGGTCTAAGAACTTCAATAACGCGAAGCAACTTGAGGATGAGCTGTGGAGGTTCGGGAAAGGGATGGCATGCAGGCATGGCTTTCGAGCCATAGGAACAGGCCAGGGATGTCAATCAACATGAGGCCAGAAGAGCCACAGACTCCCGCAGAAACAGGAGCGTTAACCTAGAGTTGCCCAACCACATTAGGAGCGTTAATACTCATTAAAACCATTAGTCTGTCCCCATTTTATATCTATCATCTCACCATATTGTTGGGTTTTCCATTCAAACCTCCATTTATAATATCCATGTCCATATCATATCATCTATTGCATAATTTACTATATCAAATATTACTCAGTATATAAATATATATATATATTTTATCATCATTTATATATAGATGATTTTTCCATATTTTCCCATTCAACCCCCCACGACTTATGACTTAGCAACTCAGGGCTCATCTCCAGCCACCCATTTTGTCGTGTCAGGCATGGCATCAGCAATGTTCATGTGCAATTCTTGGAGGTCCAGCATGTTCCATGACGATGGGATGGTTGGTGAATCATGACGGTTAGTGATGCTAGTCATATAAGTTTTTTTTCTTACATTGTATATATATATATATCTGGTTGGTGGTTTGGAACATTTTTTATTTTTCCATATGTTGGGAATAATAACCCCAACTGACTTTCATATTTTTCAGAGGGGTAGGTCAACCACCAACCAGTATATATATATATAAATATGGTATATCCACTGACAAACTGGGATTCCCATCCATGTAGAACCTCAGTTTTGAGTAGCAAAAAAAGTATCAACAACCCAATGATTCTCGCGTATTGTTTCTCTGCAAGGATGAGCATTTGGAGATCATTTTCCTCACTCAGTAATTTTGAGTTCATCGTAAATACCCAGTTTCAGGCAAACCCATGGCCATCATGCACTTCTATATGTAAATACATACATACATACATACATACATACATACATTCATACATTCATACATTCATACATTCATACATTCATACATTCATACATTCATGCATTCATGCATTCATGCATTCATGCATACATGCATACATGCATACATGCATACATACAGACACACACACAGACATACATACGTACGTACGTATGTACATACGTACATACGTACATACGTACATACGTACATACGTACATACATACATACATACATTCATACATTCATACATTCATACACACATACATACACACATACACACATACACACATACATACATACATTACATTACATGACATGACATTACATTACATTACATTGCATTACATTGCATTACATTGCATTACATTGCATTACATTGCATTACATTGCATTACATTGCATTACATTGCATTACATTGCATTACATGGTACCATTACATTGCATTACATTGCATTACATTGCATTACATTGCATTACATTGCATTACATTGCATTGCAATTACATTGCATTTGGCATTACATTGCATTAACATTTGCATTTACATTGCATTACATTGCATTACATTGCATTACATTGCATTACATTGCATTACATTGCATTACATTGCATTACATTGCATTACATTGCATTACATTGCATTACATTGCATTACATTGCATTACATTGCATTACATTGCATTACATTGCATTACATACATACATACATACAGACAGACAAACAGACAGACAGACAGACAGACAGACAGACATACATACATACATATATATACACATTTATTTATATACAGTCAAAACATGTTAAGAATGTGTGCTTCACATGGATTGTCATTTCTTGGGGAAGCCATGCAACTCTGCCTTTACGGGGTTACGCAGCTATGGTGGCAGAACTGTCCATTTCTTAATGGCTGGACCAAAAAGTGAACCACATTTTTCAGAAGTATAGCAGCTAACGAGTCGTGATCGAAAGTGGTACGCACTTAGAAACAACTTGGAGCTTCATCAGCGCGTGGTTGGATGATAGTCCCACTAGGAGGACCAGCTACTTTGGGCCCATTGGAGTTGAATTGAGGAAACATGGCCATATGTAGGAGGAAAATAGCCAAGTCAGTTTCCAAGACCTTAATGGTGGAGGATTTTTCCATGATTTTTCCCATCTTTCTTCCCGAAGGAGGACATAGAAAAACAGAAAAGAACCGTATGCCGTGTCGCAGGAGCAATCTGCGTTTGTGCCACCGATTGATCCTCGCTGCGTTGCCAGTGTCGTGCAGTATCTGCGCCCAGGGGAGGATGAACTGATCATGGGACTAACCCATGGTCTACAATAAGACCAGATAATAGGATAATCATGATTTCAGGTATACAATAGGATAATTTAGTATGGGATCAATGATAATACATTATGATTATATCAACTGTACCATAGGGTGATCAGGTATGCTAGGACAAGAGAAAGGCTGATGTGTAATATACAGAATGAATGATGGGAACCAGCTAGTTTTGGATGTGATTATACCAAGGAAATGGGGAGCAAGGAGCAGATCTGACCACACCAGATTTCGCAGGGAAAGATGAGGATCGACTCGTTTGGAAATCCATGGGCTCTTTTCCGTTCATCCATTTTTTCAGTATTATTCATTCAGGATATCGTCTCATATCTCAAATTTTCGGCCTTTAAAACAGGTTTATGGTCTTGAATCAACAATTTTTGGATGATTCATCCATGTTTAGTCTTAATCCAACAAAGTTTTATAACACTCGTGATCCAACCACGTTTCATTCTATGAGATCAAGCTTTGTATGGGGTCCCCAATATAGCCAATATATAGCATGTTCAATATAGACTCATAGATGGGGGTTTCCACAAATGGAGGTATCCCAAAATGGTTGGTTTATAATGGAACATCCTATTAAAACGAATCATTTAGGGGTACACCTATTTCAGGAAACCACCACACATATATATATACATACACATAATAATAATCACCTACCATTTGGGATGTTTTATAGCACCCATAAAAAATGGTGATAACTTGGGGATAGATTATTATTAGGTTTACCACATTATATAGATAGAACATATTATGGTTTACCACATCATATATAACCTACCTATGGTTTATGGTAGATATATCTATAGTTAAGGGGCTATATAGACTATACACATTACATGTATACTACATATACATCAGATACATATTTGATATTTACTTCACGCCCAGACGACCCCTTTTTAGTCGTGCCATTTTAGGCGGATTTCTGCCGACCTTGTGTCGCTGAAGAACTGGGACAAGGCCAGGGGAAGAGGAATGGGCCCGCGTTATTAAAGTCAATCAATCTAATGACGTAATCACCATATATATATATATATATATCTACATATGTAGAGGATATACATATATATATATACATATATATATATACATATAATAGCGAATTTATTCAAACATGTATACATATGTATATATACATGTATATATATATATGTCTTTCTCATATATATATATATGTATATATATATATGTGTGTGCGTGTACCTGCCTCTATATCAGTGTCAGACACTTGGTGAGCTGGTGTGAGCCGAAGATTTTGCTCAAAGCCTGATGAATGGGGGAAGTAATATGCGATGTATTAACCCTTAAGTCAATGGATTGGCTTAAGGGAAAGTCTACAGGAACCATTGATTTTCCCATGGAATATGGAGGTTTCCTGTAATTTTTCCCTTAAACCAATCCATTGCATAGGAAAGTGTTAAGACCTTTAAATTGTACAATGTGGGGCCGCGAGAGATCTATGGTTAGGTGGGGATATGAACCAACTTATAACCAGGGTGGCCACAATATGTAGCTATGGAAAATGAACCAGTTTAGACGAATTACCTATTGAACATAATAGTTTTTCAGGGCTATGTTAAATTGCCAGAGGGTAGCAGATTCTATTTCACCCCAACAGATAAAGTGATTCCATAGGTTTCCTGTCACCTTTTCCGTACTGACCTCATGAGGTTAAAGGTGTGATGTAAAACTTCTACTTCTTTGTATTATCAATAAAGGAGGGGGGCAGTGCACGACTGACAGACACTGCCCAACGAAGACACTGTCAGCTCGCGGTGATAATGGAGTCTGATCAACTCCACGTACCTGCGAATCATTTTATTTCACTGGGAATGGCAAGCGGCCAAGCCAAGAACCGCAAAGCTGGATTCTATTTCTACACGGTTGTCGCAATCTGAGATTTTCTTCGGTATCATTTCCAACTTTATCTACACGGTATTTTTACGGACATGGCAAAGGGCTAAGCCGAGAAGCCTAACGGGGCAATTTTGTTTCTTTATGTTGGGGACTTTGTGGATCTGCTTCTGTTCGTGATCTGATGTATTTGGAACTTTATGGTCAAGTTTCTGTTCATGATCTCAATTAATTATGGGAACTTCATCTTAAAGGTTGAATACAGCTACATGGAGATCTACCTTACATCACTCATCTGGTTTAATTGCACGTTTACGGGATTCAGTTCCCAACGGATCACTCCAATGATCCAGTTCTGTTCTAGTGTGTGTGTGTGAAAAGGTATGTCAGAATAGAGTCGCTCAATTCATTCTTAGATCAGCAATTGTTCGTCTTGATTCACACGTTGTTTTGTCTCCTAAATCAACGATTTCTAGTATGAAATCAATCATTTCGTGTATGAAATCAATTATTTTTGGAGAATGTAATCGCTTGACCCATCCCTGGACCGCATCTCGGGCCCTTCCGAAAGGATCTGCCATTGCTTGACAGCTGCGTGTTGCAGGTCGGGGGTGATTGGAAGGTATATATAGGTATATATAGGTATATATCGGTATATATAGGATTATATAGGTATATATATATATATAGGCATATATAAGTATATAAACCTATCACATTTGGTTTGGTGTGTACAGTTTTTTTTTTGATATTTCATGGAATGTAATGGTTTATCACCAAGTGCATGATGTTTGGGTGTGCCTGAACACGTTTCGCAGAGCTCCGGGATGTTCGTTTGATGCGGGGATATGATGTGATGACCTCCTGCGCGGTTGGGGTGCATTTGGGGTTATTAATGGGTACGACTATGGTAACAAAACCCATAAGTTAGGATATCACAAGGCCTATAGTGCTGGTGATACAACCACTTAGTGGAACTGCACCCACGCCCATGGCCGCCCATGGCCCATAACATCTAGCTGATCCAGCTTGAATCCTAGGCTGCAACATGGCACGGAATTGAAAGATGGTCCAACATTCTGATGATTTTGGCGCCCCGTTTTTGAAGATGTCTGAGCCGAAACTTAGGAAACTCAGTTCGTTGACAAACTCAAAAAAACACTGCAGTTGGATAGGTTTGGAGTCCAAACCGCTCTAAGAATGCGCTGAGCATATTTTTATCAATGAGATAATGAATCCCAAACCACCAGCATTATTGGCATGACCTGAAACTTGCTGAACTCCCCCAAACAGGTTTGTCCAAAAATGGGGTATACCCGTACCACAATTTATACCATTCTAATGCCATTTTAATCCATTCTATGTCATTTTTCATGGGAAAATATGTTTCAGTGGGATCATTTTTGATCCCATGTGTAGTATCTATGGGTTGTGGACCTTCTATTCGGCAATAGTCCATATGGGCAATCCATTGTGATGCTCACAAGAAATGCAAAGATATAATTCGTTTTTCAATCACATGTGAACTTTCAACCCGTTGAATAATTAAATCATTGTGAAGTCATTACTCATTCATCATAAGTCAAATTCATCATACTCATCATGGGTCATGAATGATTAAATATATTAAATTCAGAATGGACTTATAAAATTTATAAAACATCGTAAAATCATCATCATTTACCATATTTTACCATCATTCATCATGAAAGCAGCATGGTGATCTCCCTGAACCTGGCGACGCCATGGTCAAACGCCATGGTTTTTAGTTCTCTGAGGCAGTAGCCATCTGGAGGACCCTGCGCGAAAGGGCCCAACGGGATTCGGAAAGCTGTCAGCTTTTAGAGGCCGGTTGGACCCCGGTTGGGGGTTGGATGCCGCTTTCAATGGTGAATTTTGCAAATCTGGGGGAAAACATAGGGAGATCAAGGTGGATTTGAGATGTAAAAAAAAAACCAAGAAATGTCAAGGAAATGCCTGGTTTCACCATGGGGAGATTGGGTGATCTTGGGTTTTTGACTGTTCTTTGCCGGGTTTTGGTTGGAATCAGCATCCAGCTGCAGTTTGGACAATGACAATGGTGAATTCCAAGAAAATATCGGGACTGGTTGCGGGCAAAGCCAAAGGAACCATGGGATTTATGGTGGTTTCACATCCTTGCAAAACTGGTGAAAGGGAGAATAGCGTAACCCCGCAATTCATGGGTAAATGGTATCAGGTGGTTTATTGGGATATGACATGATATGATGAGGCAAACACACAACCAATTTATGGACACAACATGGGGATGTATTGGGAATAGAATGGCGCCTAAGCAGATGCGGGGCATAACCAACAGAAAGTGTTTGGATTCAACTAGCAGAAATGCTTGGCTGCAACGAAAATGGGCATCTGTAGCTTTTCTGCGATGGGACTAGATAGTTATATATAACTGGTTGGTGGTTTCAAACATTTTTTATTTTCCATTTCATATATGGGATGTCATCATCCCAACCAAGATGGTCAAAACCACCAACCAGGTATAAGTAATATCAGCAGACCAAAGTATAGCGATTTACCCAACGATGGGATGCGTTGGTTTCGGATCCTCAGAGGATTCGGGGTTCGTCCTGGTCCCCACAGAATCGTCAATGGGCTTTCCATATGTTACTGGAGGGGGTATCTTTCAAGATTCGTTTTGTCTTCTTGTTTTTTTTGCAATTTATATGGAAAAACACTGGGTGACAGCACCTTGGATTTTCACTGTTTTTGAGACTTAAAACAATGGTTCGATCCTTTTTGGTGAAATCAACATGTTTTGTGGGTAAACTGTTGATGGCACCCAAGTTTTGCTTACTTGAAAGGTGGTGAAATGAAATCCTCATGTCGATTGGACCCATATGTTTGCAAGTGAAACTCCCATTTTGTTCAAAGCGACATTTCGCCACGTCCAACATCTTTTCGAGTTTTGCCACCATGTTTTCTCAACATATTTCATCATTTTCCTCCAAAGTTCCCAAGTTTTCCCTCAAATTCTCCTCTTTTCCCCATTTTTCCCGAAGATTTCCGAAGTTTTCCTCGCGGCCCCGTGGGGAAGCCGCCGTGGCTCTGCGAGGCCTTCGACCACGGGTCACTCGCGTTGGCGGCCACGGCTCTGCAGCTGACGGCTTACAGAACTGGGGTCGAGACGGTGAAGAGGTGGAACGAGGCGGGAAACAACGGGGGGGGTTGGCTGGGATGGGGTCTTGAAATGGACGGATTAGCAGGAGGGCATTCCAAGCCGCAAAGAAACACGCTCACCTTACTATAATTACGTAGTCCTGAAATCCCTTCAGATTTCTGTCAAAGGCATTCGGTCCGTCGGTACAATGACTAATATCCATGGTCAATAATGGTGAACAAAAATGGCTAAGAATGGTGTTTACGGGATGATCTTGGTATACATAATATGTGTCAATCTTTTTCATATCAACACTATATCTATATCTATCTTCAGATACATCGAATCCCTCCCCTGTGCATATTTTGTTGACTCCGATGGTCCCAGGTCCCAAATATATATATATATATGTGGTAAATCCCAATTGAAGCATGGTTTCTAGGGGGTGTTTAACATATTGGGTCGATATATGATTAAACTATTGGTAGGAATCTTGGATCATCAACTGATTGTGGATGATCTTTAGTGTGACAACTGGAATTACTATGGATAATTTATTGTATCATTACTATGGACTATGGATGAATAATTATGATGATTGATAATAGTGGGATTGATTGTGAATCATGTTTATTGCCATTATTGCGATTACTATTGATTGGGGTGGGATTGTTTTTGTGGAACTCCGATTACTTTTTTCATTGCAGAAATCAATACTCTGATTACTATGGATAATTCATATTCACTATGAATTAGTACTTGATGATGATTAGTAGTAGTAACACTAAGAATGTGATTGAATGTGCATCATTACTGTTATGACGATAGTAATGCATGAATTATCATGATTAGCATTAGCTATGGATTACGGGTTATAGTTATCACTGTGATCATTATTGATACAATTGCCCTGAATTATTACTATCTATGACTATAGCAATTGATTATCAGTATTTACTATGGGTTATAAACTCATGATGGGTGATTATTATTATGATAACCATAATTTTTCACCAGGGTTGATTGTAACTCTGTGATTACTATGGAATTTTATCGGGACAAATACTAACCATCCCCCTAATAAGTATCAAGTACCCCTCATAGATGCACTCCCAAAATGAATAGATCCAATACTAAACCAGAGGTTCAAATGGGGGAAGAGATGCATATTATTCAAATGTAGCCATCAACATATTTCAATGATCTCAATCCCCATTTCCAGAAGGAATTCTGATCGCAGTGATAGATATCAACGATCCTCATTTCCGTAGAACAACATCCCGTTATCATAGAGGTATTCAATCATATGCAATCAAATCCCCGAGAAAAGGAGTTTTCACCAAAAATCAAGAAAAGAAATCCATTCGTCACACTTTTTTTCCAAAGAAATCTAGAGATTTCCCATGATTTCCCCAAGATGTACCGCACTTTTCCAATTTTCCCATGGATTTCTGCCGTGTCCATCGATGAGCCACCGCAGGCGCCCGTGCCGCAAGGCAGAGACCCACGCCGTCGGGGCGTGCAGCGGCTGCTGAGAGCGCTCGTATATGGGATCGAGCCATCCGTGGAGGTATGGGATTTTAATGGTGGGATTTTTGGATTTTAATGGTGATTCAATGGGATTTTAATGGTGGTTTAATATGGGATCTAATGGGCGATGAAAACCAGATAGTACAACCATCAGATGGTTAATGGATGTTGATGGTTCATGGTAATGTTTACAGTGATGTAGCACTCAAAAATCTGGTTGGTGGTTTCAAACCATGGAATTTTATGTCCCATTTCATATATGGGATGTCATCCCAACCCCATTGACTTTCACTCCATCATTTTTCAAGATGGTTCAAACGCACCAACCAGATATATATATATATATATATTGATATAATGGTGATTAATGTGTTTTAATGGTGATATAATGGTGATTAATGTGGATTAATTACCATATTAATCCAAACCAAAAAACATATAAAGATCACCATACATCACCATTATATCCCCATTATACCACCACAATGACCATAAACCGCATCAAAAGCCATTACCAAGCTGTAACCATTGTCCCGCTATGACTCGACCCCACCACATACACATGAGATAGATGGATGCATGGGTAGATAGTTGGTTGGATGGATAGATTGGATAGATCGGATGAATGGCTGGCTGGCTGGATAGGTAGAAAGATAGACAGACAGACAAATAGTTGTTTATCTATGTTATCTATGCCGAAAGGCTAAACACACACATGTATATATACGCATGTATATATATATATATACACATGCATATATAGATATTATATATATATATGATTATATATATATTATACACATATATATATATTTATTTATGATAATATATATATATGTATATCACATAAATTTGTAGATCTATTTCCCATATTCGTGTCGTATGGCTTCTCCATCCTGGCCAGGAATTCCTGCAGATCTTCGCCAAGCGCTGGGGCTTCCTGTGCCAGTCAAGCCAGTCGCAGGAGTCAGGCGGGGGGAATGGTTTTCATAGCCAAGGTTTCCACAATCCAGTGGTTTATTCAATGGAAATTCCAGGATCCTAAAGTCCTAAAATGGAGGTACTGTACCATATGTTATAATATAAGGCTCCAATTTAGGTTCCTGAAATGGCCATTGATTTATAAATGTTTACGATCAAACCTATGAATTATTATTATGAAGACTATGAATTGGTTACTATCATATAGTTATGGTTTATACTGGGTGTAACCATTTGGTAATGGTGATGGTTTTTATAGCCATGGTTTCCATAATCCAATAGTCCATCTATCTCTATATATAGCCATAGCCATGGTTTATTGGTTCATAATATGTTGATATACAGCAGACAATCACCAACATAGTTGATAAACAACTGGTTCATAATATGTTAATAGTTGTGGTTCATCTAGGATTGGGTCGTTTTTCCATTCAAAACCTACCGGACTTTTCGTATCACATCTTCGATGGGGTGAAGATGAATCCCAGCCAAAGACCTCAGCAGAAGCCACGTTGAAACCTCGATGGGTCAAAGGGGATTATGAACTACCCTCTGGTTCTTTGACATAGCCATGGACAACGGCCCATAGAAATAGATGGTTTACCGTTCTTAAAAATGGTGATTTTCCATGGCTATGTTAAATAGCCAGATGGTATATAATATGAGTATGATATGATATGATATGAATATATACCATCATCAAAAGCATAAATCTGTTGCCTAGTTTTCGGATGGTCATCAATCCTGTAGGGAAAGGCATATCCCCATTTTCAGGTTTCTCCATTCATGATAGTGGGATGGCCATACCCCATATTCACCCGTGTAACTCGACCATGGCCCCAGAAAACATGAAGATTCTTGATAGTTCTTGATGGTTCCAAAGCCATTACCCTCTGGTAAATTAACATAGAATGTGGCAGATAGGGGTTGGAAGATTAGTTTCCTCTATAAATTGGTCATTTTCAGGGTCTATGTTTATTTACCAGAGGGTAATGGCTTTGGATGTTTGAACCAGAAACTGCTGGGTTTCTTTCATTTGAACCAGGTCACGACGTGACCGCTCCGCTGCTGGTCTCTGGTGCGATGCGTTCGGCCCAGCTGGCCCTGCTGAGGGGGGAAGGCGCGGAAGCCACGCCCAGGCCAGACTCGGTTTCTGGAGGCCACGGGAGGTTGCTGACCTAATCCCACCGTAATGTTGCTGCGACCCCTCCAGAAACCATGGTTTTTTGTAGGGGATGACACCACAAAAAAAAGGGACCATTGATGTTTAATATTAGGGGGATCGGATTACAGATAACTAGTGATAGCGAAAGAAACAGCTTCATTATGATGACAATCATGATGTTCGTGATGACAGTAAAGTGAAGATACCCACTGGGTGATTTAACATAACTATGGGAAATCGCCATTTTAATAGGTAAACAGGTAAATCATTCATTCAATGCCCTATTTTCCATGGCTAATTATGTAATGAACAAATTACCAGAGGCTCACGATTTCTGCATAGGTCACTAAATCAGAAACTGTGCATGGGATGGAGTCGGGAACATTTCGAGGTACGAAGGTGCCATTGTGGGGAACTATGCCAGGAAACATCATCTGTTTCGATTTCCGTGTTAGATTACCAGAGGATACCAGCATTTTTGTTTGCAGTTGCACAGCTGCAAAGGGAGTCCTTGTGCTATCTCGCATGGCTAAATTGTCTATACATCGGACGGGTTGGTCCGGAAAAAGGTGGTAGCTGAGCAGTGAGATGATAGGTCAATCACCTGCTGCTGCCACGTCTCGCTCTCCGAGCTGGCCAGCTTGACGTCGCTGCTACGCTTTCGCCTGTGCTGCGCGAAAGAGACCAGTTTGATGGTCTACTCCAGCCAAAGTAGCATCTGGCTTGTGAACGCCAGGCACCGCAGCCGCATGGATAGTTCGTGCAGACGGAGGGAGTCCCATGAAGCCCAGCGTCGTTGGTTTGATAGCTGGCGCACCGTAGCGCCACTGCTGCATCTGCAAGAGCTGGAAGCCCGGAGCTCAAAGAACACGCTGTAGGGAGGTTCTTCAAAACACTCGCGTAGGCCTCCTCACTGTGAGGGGCGGAGTGTTCCATGATGGCCGCACCGTCGTGAAGCACAATCTCAAGCTCGATGTGGACATTCGAAAGCATGAGGTATGGGAGTTCCCACGGTTGCTGGGCTGACGCAGTTACAAGCCCCAGAGCCAGCATCTGCTTCAGGGAGTCAAAGCCGTGACCCACAAGGAGGTTGCCAGCATCACCGCACACTGCAGTGTCCAGAGAAAGGATCACGATGTCAATGTCCGGAACATATTCGCTGCAAAGCCTTGCAATCCAGTCATGGCACTCACCTTGTCGACGTATATCAACCCTGGTTGGTAAGTCCACTAGCAGGGGTTATTTCATATATGGGTATGGATCAATACCTATTAATACCATTTTTAGTGGGATGAACATCCATTTGCCAGCTATTTTGATGTGAACTACAGGGGTACTATTGGTTTTGACACATTGCCATATGACTGGGCGGTAACCATGGTTATATCGTGGCACTGGAAAATCCCTCTTCGTTCGATCATTTTCCGAATGAAAACATCCATTTCGTTCCACAAGTAGAAGGGACGCCCTCAACAATTAGCAAGGAACACTTTAAAACATTTACCCTCTGGTAAACTAACATAGCTATTGAAAATGGCCATAGAAATAGTGGATTTTCCCATTAAAAATGGTGATTTTCAATAGTTATGTAAACGTTTACCAGAGGGTAAAAACACTGTCTAGAGTCGAGTAAAACACGCGAGACCCACAACGTCACGCACACCCCGATGGAACGGGCTCATGGAAAGAATCCGAGTTTCATGGTGGCCAGGTGAGCCGGTACTGTTTCACAGCATCCAATATTGTTGAATTGGTTGGACAAGTTTTCCAGAGAAACTTAGTTGGATTTCTCTTGAAATTTCGATGTAATCCCATTCCCCTGGTATTAAACGCAACCTCAATGAACTGTGGCGGATGTAGGGGGTAAAAAGACATATCACTGGGACCATACAATGTGGGCGCTTGTCATTAGGGGAATGTAAAACACATTTAAAAACATGTGCTTTCCGCAGCAGATCCTCAAAATCCTACAGTTTTTCAGACGTGAGTGGGTTACCCTCTGGTAATTTAACATAGCTATTGAAAATGACCATTAATAGTGGATTTTCCCATAAAAAATGGTGATTTTCAATAGCTATGTTAAATTACCAGAGGGTAAATCAGCAGTTTTCTGGGTTCATTGACCACGTAGCACATGACAACAGCCAGGGCTTCAGTTTTTTCGAGGCGCTTAGCACGAGTGCACTTCATGGTGTCCTGCCACTGCTTGGGGAAGGACCTCGCAAAGCGGGATGGGCAGCGACGAACTGTTGATGAGTACTCCCATTTTTTTTTCATATTTCTAGGGTTTTGAAGTATCAACAATGACATCTTTTCCATGACAGATTTTTGGTTCATAACATTTTTAACATGCTGATTGGTTGATGGTTGCGCTTGGTGGGGATGTAAACATCAATCATAAAGGGCTTTCAGCCAATAAACATATTATGGGGATATAAGTGACATATGATGGACATGATGGTTATATGTTGTTGGTTGATGATTACTTGCATGATTGGGGTGAACACCATCATTTGTACGGATATAGGCCGGGAATGTGGGGAAATGTATAATTGATAGATGATGGTTGGTTGACCTACCCTTTATATCTCATACACATAATATTGGGGGTTGTGAATGTTGCGTCTTTTGAACACTGCTAATATGGTAAATTCGCTACTTTAATGGGTTCGTTTTGATTCATAGTTCACGACCCAAATGGTTCGGGCAATGGTAGGTCGTTGGGCAAATGATAGGATGATTTTAATGAACCATTCCACACCTTTATCCAATGAGCTACCATTTGGCAGGTATTTTCCACAACATACAAGGAACCACACCATATCCCCCCCACTTTTAGGGGTCAAATTCAGGTTGCCACATGATTACATTTTTTGAACGCTTCTTGGACTTACCTTTGGATCCAGGGGCCCCATCAGCTGGGTGCATCGCCCAAGATCTTTCTCCATCGCGAATGTGAAATATCTTTGATGGCCGAATGCATCCTGAACTATACAAAAATCTTCAGATCCACTAGCGGATGGCTGTGGATTGACATCATAGACAAAAACTCTGACCCAAGCAACATAAAACGGGCTGCAAGACAAAGAAATGGTGGACGTGACAGTCAACTAGACGACGGATGGCCCGAGAGCGTAGAGGAGCAGGGTCTTCTCTTGTTAGTATGGAGACACCATATTAGAAACAATATATTAAAGATGTGTTATATGCAGTCGAGAAGAGGAGTATTAAGACAAAATAGCAGAAGTGCAAGACAATAGTTTGCATCGCAAACACTTTAACACACAAAAGCTTTTACACACAGACGCTTTTACATACAGACCCTTTTACGCACAGACCCTTTTACACACAAAGCTTTTACCCACAGAAGCTTTTACATATAGAAGCTTTTACACACATACGCTTTCACACAGATGCTTTTACACACAGACACTTTTACACAGACACTTTTACACACAAAGCTTTTACCCACAGAAGCTTTTACATACAGAAGCTTTTACAGACATACGCTTTTACACAGATGCTTTTACACACAGACACTTTTACACACAGACACTTTTACACACAGACACTTTTAACAAAGAGCCTTTTACACACAGGAGCTTTTACACACAGAAGCATTTACACGCAGACGCTTTTACACACAAAAACTTTTACACACAGTCACACAGAAGCTTTTACACATAGACGCTTTGACACACAGGCACTTTTACACACAAACACTTGTACATACAAACACTTTTACACACAAACACTTTTACACATAGACGCTTTTACACGCAGAAGCTTTTACGCGCAGACGCTTTTACACACAGAAGCTTTGACACACAAACGCTTTTGCACACAAACGGTTTTACACACAAGCGCTTTTACACACAATCACTTTTACATACAGACGCTTTTACACACAGACGCTTTTACACAC